AAAGTTGATAGCTGGTTGCTTTGTAGTTTTTATTGCACAGTTACTTCATAGGGTCTGTGAGCTATGTAACTTAAGTATGTTTTTTTGGTAGCAGGTATCATTCTTTCATTTCCATGGTTAGAAGTCCTTTAGGGATCTCTTGTGAGTCTGGTCTAATGGTAACAAATTCCCTTAACACTTGCTTGTCTGGAAAAGATTTTATTTCTCTTTCAGTTATGAAGCTTAGTTTGGTAGGATATTAAATTCTTGGTTGGAATTTCTTTTATTTAAGAATGCTGAAAATAGGCCCCCATCCCTCGTGGCTTGCAAGGTTTCAGCTGAGAAGTCCACTATTAACCTGACAGGTTTACCTTTGCATGTGATCTAACCATTTTCTTTAACAGCATTTAAAGTGTTTTTCTTTAGCACTGACCATGGACAGTCCAGTGACTATAGGCCTTGATGATATTTGTTTTGTATAGTATCTCACAGGTGTTCTCTGGATTTCTTAATTTGGATGACTACCTCTATCAAAATTAGGAAACTTTTCTTGAATTATTTCCTCAAATATGTATTCCAAGTTGTTTACTTTTCTCTTTCTCAGGAACACTAATAATTCATAGATGTGGTCACATTACATAATCCCAAATTTCTCAAGGACTTTGTTCACTTTTTAATATTCTTTTTTCTCTATTTTTTATCTGACTAGGTTAGTTCAAAAGACCTTCAAGCTCTGAAATTCTTTCTTCTGCTTAGTCCAGTCTATTGATAAAGCTTTCAGTTGTATTTTGAAATTCTTTACATGAGTTTTTCAATTCCAGAAGCTGTGACTGATTTCTTTTTAAGTTGCTTATCTCCTTTCATTTCCTGGATTGCTTTAGAAGTTTCTTTGTGTTGATTTTAATCCTTGTCTTGGATTGCCTTGCAATCCATGCTTTGAATTCTTTATCTGTCATTTCTGAGTTTCCTTTTTGGTTAGAGACCACTGAAAAGCTGGTGTGATCCTTTGGTAGTGTCACACTACATTCAGATTTTTCATGCCAGAAATCTTTTTTTTTTTTTTTTTTTAAGGCGGAGTTTCGCTCTTGTTGCCCAGGCTGGAGTGCAATGGTGTGATCTCAGCTCACCATAACCTCTGCCTCCCAGGTTCAAGTAATTCTGCTGCCTCAGCCTCCCAAGCAGCTGGGATTACAGGCATACACCACCACGCCCAGCTATTTTTTGTATTTTTAGTAGAGACAGGGTTTCTCCTTTTTAGTGAGGCTGGTCTCGAACTCCTGACCCCAAGTGATCTGCTTGCCACGGCCTCCCAAAGTGCTGGGATTACAGGCGTGAGCCACCACGCCCAGCCTCATGCCAGAATTCTTATGCTGGTCCCATCTCATCTGGAAATGCTGATACTTCTAATTTTTTAAATTGTTTTTGTGAGGGTAGAATTTTTCTTTTCTTTCTTTCTTTCTTTCCCTCTCTATACAATTATTGCTTTTTTTTTCTTTCCCATCTCCCACCCTAGGGAGTGTGACTGTAGAGAATGTTAGGTAGGGTCTTTTGGCTTTGCTTCTATAGCCCTGTGTACTCTGTCAGCAGGTTTTATATTGAACTCTGCAGTTCCACTATAAGCCAATAGATGACACTTACGAGTAAGAGCCAGCTGCAGCCAATGGAGTCAGGTGTATACTTGACCCTTGTTTACTGACAGAAGCCACTGTTGCCTCAGGTAATGAGTTGATCTGTGGAGTGCACAGTGATCTGAGCTCCCTGTTTAGCCCTGAAGGGCTCTCTCTTCTTCCCAATCTAGATTCTTCACCTCTAAACTGTATCTATCAAATTTCTTAATCGAGGTAATCTCTAGCTTAGCAACTCATGAAATAAGAACTTTCTGCAGAAAATAGAGGCTATTGACTGAGTTGGCTGAAAGCTGTCTCTTATTACATTTTTAATTCATAGGATAGCTTTTAAAGTCACTACTAATTCTATGCAATATTCCTAATTTATTCTACGAAAATGTACAGAAAAACCTTCATCATTTTTGCATAGGCTTAATAGGTTGTGAGTGTTCTTACAAATGTTCTAGTTTCCCTGATAGGTTTAATCTGAATAATAGAATTGCATACATCTTCCTGTTGTGACTTAAGGAAACTCGTTTGTAGGAGCATCTACCTCATTGCTCCAATATAGTATTCACGACACAATTTTTTGATCTTCATTCCTACAAAGGAAAGCGTGAATGTCAGGAGAATTCTGTTTTGCTTGGTTATCATTTATATAGTTTTCACTCTACAGCAATAAATTGATATCCTAGAGTATTTATCCATCTTTTCTGAGATTGTACTGTTAAGGCTTTGAAAGGCTGATGAACACAGGCGAATGGAAAAAAAAATTACTTTCTGAACATTATGTTAGGACTATGCTACTCCCTAAGGCCCTCCTGGAGCAGCCATTTCTACTTTTTCACTGGCATCTCTTTTCTTTTTTTAACATTCAACAAGAAAAACACATTCTTTAAGGGAAAAAAATGCTTGTATAATGAAGTAGTATCCATTAGCAGCATTATTTCTAAGAGCCAAAAGATGGAAATAACCCAACTTTCCCTCAATGCATGAATACATTTTTAAAATGTGGTATATATAAAATACTGGTTTTAGACTATCATAATCTCTTTTATTAAAATCTGATTTTTATTAAAAATCATTAATTTTATGAATTCAGTCAACTTATTCTATGAAGTCAAAAGATTGCACTACTAGTGGCAAGTAGTATCAATATAAATAAAATATTTTTTATCAGTGAGACTTTTCACATTGTCTAAAATATTCTTATATACTGATAGACCCCAACTTAACGATGGCTCAACTTGCAATTTTTTGACTTCACCATGGTGTGAAACCATTGCAATTTCAACACACTCTGAATTTTGAATTTTCCCAGGCTGGCAATACGCAGTACATGAGATATATAATACTTTATTATAAGAGACTTTATGTTAGACAATTGTGCCCACCAGCAGGCTAATATAAGTGATCTGATAATGTTTAAGGTAGGCTAGGCTATGATGTTTGGTAGGTTAGGTGTATTAAATGCATTTTCATCTTACAATGTTTTCAACTTACAATGGGTTTATTGGGATGTAACCCCATCATAAGTTGAGGAGCTTCTGTACTATGGGGTGAAAATCTCTAAAAACCTGAAGTTCCAAAATCTGACACTGTTTGAATGCAGACATAATGCCCCCAGTGGAAAATTCCACATCTGACCTCATGTGACAGATCAATAGCAAAAACAGTCAAAACTTTGCTTCATGCACAAAATTACTTTATAAAATCCTGTATAAAATTCAGGCTATGTGTATAAGGTATATATAAATGTAAGTGAATTTTGTGTTTTGACTTGGGTCTCATTCCTAAGATCTTTCATTAAGTATATACAAATATTCTAAAATCAAAAGAATTCAAATTTGAAACATTTCCAGTCTCAGGCATTTTGGATAAGGGATATTCAATCTGTCTTACTAGAAAAATAAAAATTCTATTCAGTGTGACAGAAACTTAAAAATGGACTTACCAAACTTGGACTTAATAGATTCTTCTCAAACTGCTCATTTTTTCCCCACTTGATTTTTTTTTTTTTTTTTTTTTTTTTTTTGAGACGGAGTCTCGCTCTGTCGCCCAGGCTGGAGTGCAGTGGCACTATCTCGGCTCACTGCAAACTCCGCCTCCCGGGTTTACGCCATTCTCCTGCCTCAGCCTCCTGAGTAGCTGGGACTACAGGCGCCCACCACCTCGCCTGGCTAATTTTTTTGTATTTTTAGTAGAGACGGGGTTTCATTGTGTTAGCCAGGATGGTCTCGACCTCCTGACCTCGTGATCCGCCCGTCTCGGCCTCCCAAAGTGCTGGGATTACAGGCTTGAGCCACCGCGCCCGGCCACTTTGAAATTTTTTACGTCGAGCCTGAAAGGTAGATTTTAAAATAATTATCCTCATAGATACATTTCTAAAATATCACATACTTTCTAAACATCTATGATTATGTAAATTCTTAAAGATTTGAAAAGTCAGTGATTGGGAGGCTATATCATTTTCTACCTATATTTTGTGGATAATGTGGAAAATTTAGGAATAACGTACAAAAATTATGCATTTCAAAATAGCTTAAAGGTGAACTTTATCCTTGGCTTCACACAGATGTGCTGATTATCCTAACTCATACAATTCTCATTCTACTTTTTTTTTTGCTTTATAAATACTCAAGTTGCTTTAACTTAATGCTTTTTGCATGTAGTCTTGAGTCTTAGCACTTCCTGTAACCATTATGTAATCTATTTTTCTTGATAGTTGCCTTAGCGATGTATTTCTATATTCGTTTTAATAAATTCATGAAAGGGATAGAGAAAACAGCAGTGTCAGAAAATAATGTGATGAAGCTACAATCCTATTTTATACAAAATAAAAAATAGAGAATCTTGATGATTGACACTATGTTCTACAGTATGAAAATTTCTTGAACTACACTGAAAATATCACAATTTTCTCCAACTCAGCAGTGTTTAATTCCTTTTTATAATTGTGCATCACGCTGAGAGTGATGGCATGCACCTGTAGACCCAGCTACTCAAGAGTCTGAGAGGCAGGAGAATCGCTTAAGGTCAGGAGTTAAAGGCTGCAATTCTCTATGATTGCACCTGTGAGTATCTAAGCTGCACTACAATTTGGGCAACACAGCTGAGACCTTGTCTCTTAAAATAATAATAATAAAATAACTGTACATCATTCAGGTAACTGGGATAATTGTAGAAAAACATATAACCATTGGATATGGTATAATACTCTATTACTGATCGTAGAGTTCCTTTTATTTTTTCCAGTCTTTTTGTTAATTTCTTACACAACTAAAAACATAGTTCACCTATTAAAAGCAGTTTTTCAAAAAGCCAAAAGAATTGCATCCAAAATATATGATGAGTTATCCGCTGTTTCCCCTAAACAGTAGATTTTACCATTAAGGTTCAATAAAACTTTTATTTGGGGATGTAAAGGCAGTTATCTTACCTAGAGGCGGTTAAAAGTGTGGTAATCCATTCAGGAGCTCCATCTAACTGGGTAGGCGTGGGAGAAGGAGGCCTCTGAGAGCAACCCAGGCGGGCCCCCTCGCTTGAGGCATGTCAGTGGACTCAGTGTTGGAGTAAGAGGGATGTGGAAGGGAGCAGTGGGGTGGGGCCGCTTTTGCTAGGGATGGTGGAGAGGAGGCAAAGAGAACAGACTGTGCCCTCTGACTGTCCCTGAAGGCTAGGCCCGGCCACAGAAGCTGTGCTAGTGGTCCTGTTCACTCGCCCTTTGCGGGTGAGTAGATAGAATTTCCTTCTCTAATTAACAGCTAAGTCAACAGCCCATTGTTTGCTGTGGCTGTAATCAGAAAAGGATTCCTATGAAGGTTGCCAAGTGGTTCCTCCCCACTTTTTGTTCACTCTTAACATCCACCTGCTTCCCAAAGTGACCTGCTCCCCCTCCTTGGGCTGCACTGGGGAGGGCGGGCACTAGGGTGGGGAGGGGGCGAGCCCCACAACCCATAGGGCAGCGCATAGTGGCACCATGTATAGGAGAGAGTGAAAGGGATGGGGGTGGCATTTTCTTCCAGTGGAGTTGTGGGGAGATGACCTAACATAAGCGCGCCCCTGCTCCGCCCTGGCGAGCCGGGCAAAGCTGGAGTGAACCGAGCTGAGCCTGGGCCGCAGCACCCCGAGGTTGGAGACGCTGCGGTCAGGAAGCACCAAGAGGATGGAGCCGTTTTCCCCGTAAGTAGGGGCCAGGGTCTCACTCCTGAGCCGGCTTCGCACGGACCCCAGGCCCTGGCAGGAGGGCCCGGAGGCGGGACGAGCCCACGCGGTGGGTGGGGTGTCAGCAAAGAAAGCGGGGTCGCAGGGCAGGTTCTGGAAGCCTCGGCGTGGCTGGGCTGGAGTGTGCAGACGTGGGAGAGCCCGGAATGGGGCGCGCGTGGCCCGTGGAGGCCCGAGGCTGCGCTTCCCTCGCGGGCTCTGCGGCCGAGGTCGAGGCTGCCCAGGCGGGTCTGTCCGGAGCTCCCCGGGGGCGGAGGCGCGGGAGGCGGGGAAGGGCCGGGCGGCGGGACCGGTGTCCCCAGCGGGAGGTCGGGGACCGTCGCGTTCCGTCGGGGCCGCCTGCGGTGCAGGGGTCGGAGGCCAGACCACAAAGGCGGGAGGGGGCCCGGCCAGAGCTGCTGAGACCCCCCAGCCGCGCTGGACTCAGGGGCTCCCTGCCTTTAGCCACCAAGAGCGGGGCAGGCTGCGGGGTGCCCGGGAGAAGCCAGATCCCGCGCATTTTACACCCACTAATTAGATCCCGCCGCCCGCCTGGGACCTCGGCATTGTCTGTCCGCTGCACTGACGGGGAAACTGAGGCACGGTGTGAGTAAGGCGGGGGAGGGAGTCGGCGCCTCCGAGCTGGGGCGCGCCCCGCATCCACCCGGACACCAGACTCCCGCGTGGCCTCTGCTCCTGCTCCGTGCACGGCGGCATCTGGGGAAACCGGGCTGGGCTCCTCCGTCCCCTGGAAGCTGTTGTAAGTTTTAAATAAATGTTACTACTAGGCACGAGGAAAGCGGATCCTTGATTACCGGCGTTGAACAAATGGTTGCACCGCGTTCCCCGCGGTAGGTGGAGTGTGTGATTGTGAGCGAGAGGGGAATGGGCACCGAACCTTACCTACACAAGCCTAAACTCGTAAGCAATTAGGACACAGACGTCTGAAAATCTGATTAAGCGATAGGAATTCTAATAGTCCGGGACCCAAATGAGACCCAGCCACTGTTAGCAGCGTTCAGTTTTGTCCTGTTGCCCGTAATTACCCCAAGGTCAGGGAGAAGCACTGAAGCAAAGGCATGAACATCACTTTGAAAAGGAAACCTGCCTGGGGCACTCCTTCCTTCAGACTCCCCTTCCAAGTATTCCCTCATTTCATTCAAAAGGAGTTAACTTTTCTAAACTAAGTGGTGCTGGTAGAAGATGCTACCTGACTCCAGTGTTGCCTCAATTCTTGAAGCTCTTCGAAGACGTTTTGGCCTTCCTCTGTTCCCTCCCCTCCCTGCTATTTTGCAGACATATCCACTGGGGAATTGTACGGCAGGAAGGCTGATTTTATTCAGCTGGCCCTTGATTCCTGGTTTGCACGGTATCTGGGTCTGGCCTGCAACCCTCGTGTCCAGGTAAGTTCATTAGGAAAGGATTTCTTTACATTCAATTGAAGGCATCTAGGTCCTAAAACAGCGCTTATATTATCTCTGGGGTAACCCTGCTTATTAATTTGCGGAATAGTCAGATGGCTATAGAGTTTTGGATAGGAGGAGGTAAACCGCTTTCAAAGTTTATTCTTGAGGAAGAGGCTGAACAGGAGATAAAAGCAGGTTTTGAAATTCTGCTAGAACACTACCACTGGCTAGGAGGAGAGACAAAAACCGTAGAATAAGTCATGAGAATAATGGACCTTTTTAAAAGAGCTTTCTAGAGAAGCTTATAGCTTATTTTGCACAAGTTTTAATGTGTACTTTTTTTTCTTGATCAGGTTCACTTATGCAACTTGTATACATTTTCATATTTATGGCTATGCTAATTTACAGTGTAGGAGAAAACCGTCAATATGTGTTGAAGAAGAAATGTATAAAGTGTACAATAGAGAGAGTGCATGAAAGATAATATATTCGATGAAGGCACCCTAGAGCTATTGGGACTCTTAGATCCTCAGATCTGGGAGGGCCTTCATCCTTTCCAGTGCATGCAGGAGGAAGCTGAGGCTCTGAGGTTTGGAAACCCTGGAGATATCACTCAGCTGATTTCTAGCAGGTTTGTATTAAATCTTGGTTTTGGAGAGTTAAGAATCTTGAGGAGTGATAACCTTGGCTATTGAAATAAGGACAGGATGTTCTTGGAGAAAATTAATCAGGAAGGGCACTGGTTGAACATTTATCAAGAGATTCTTTAGCAAGGACACATATAGGTAAAGCATAGGAGAATAAGCCAGAAATAAATGAACTAAATAAGAACCTATTCTGGGGAGATTAAAAAACATTAACTTCAAAGTTATTTGCAGTCTGTGTCCCTTTGCCCCGACCAAGCCAGTATGTCTGGCTCATGCGGTCACAGCATTCTGCAGAATGATGACCTCTAGTCTCTATACATTCATGTTGTATGAATGGGAGGGTTCATACCTGGGGGTATGAACTGGAAGGGTTGTATGCCCAGGGAGTCCCCAGCGGCTGTCACTGGCTGACTACAGATGTCTGCAAGCCTCCTCACTTCTGATGAGCGGCCACACCTTGGGCGGTGCACGCCTTGTGTTACTCAGGATGTGGGCTCAGCTGTGTGTCACAGAGACCCCAAATAACAGTGGCTTACACAAGGTAGAAGCTATTTCTGTTTCATGTGCTCATGTCAAAGATGTGCCGGCAGGACAGGTCTGGCCTGTGGAGTCATCTGAGGCCAGGGGTTTTCTGTCCCCAAACTCTGTTGCCCTCCTTCAAGGAGTCCCATATGGTTCACCACGCCATGCACACCCCCACACAGGAAGCGGGAAAGGGCACCCCTTTACCCTTTAAGGCCGGTCATTGGATACAATTACACGCCTCACTTTTGCTCATTCCCATGGCCCGTAATCTGGTTTCATGGTCATATCCAGGCTGCAAGGGAGGCTAGGGAGTGCCCAGCTAAAATTTCTGTTACTATGGATGAAGGTGAGAAGAGGTGTTGGAGATAACTAGCAACTCCACGAAAGCACTGACAAGGATCAGAGTTGATACCCAGTCACCTTCCCAAGTGAAGGTGCACACACAGTTGGAACCAGGATAGTATTTCTTGCATGCCTGCATTGATTCATCCAACAAATACTTGACTGAAAATAAGGAAGTGGAAAAATGCAGTCACGATCTTCATAAAGCTCTGACCCAGGTTGCTGCCTCCTAAGTGATCACTAGTCTAGGTGTGGTGTACAGAGTAAGTGGGGACTGGGGAGGATAGTAATTCAGAGAGAGGGAGGAGGTGATTGCAGGGAAAGGTGGGAGACAGAAGAGGCTCCTAGTTCTTTCCAGAAGTCACTCCTGGAAAAAGACCAGACCCAGAAATTAAAAGTTGAGAATGTAACTGTAGTTGAACTAATGAAACTGAGAGTCCAACCCATAGCTTTGTAAGAAGCACAAATGTAATTTTTTTATTTTTCAAAATAACATTAATATAATTTATTCTATATTCCTTGTGCAAATCCTCAATGTTCTACATTGAAGATGAGGCTAAATAGGAGGTATAAACTTTCTAAATTTTCTTATTAAAAAATAGTGCCAAGCTGGGTGTTGGCCATGTCTCTAATCCCAGCTATTCGGGAGGCAGAGGCAGGAGGACCACTTAAGCCTAGGAGTTCAAGTCTGACCTGGGCAACATCATGAGACTGTATCTCTATAAACAAACAAATAAATAAAAAAGAAATAGTGCCACAACTTACTTTGCTGCGTGTTTGGGAGAACACATATTAGTTAATCAAAATCATTTGCTGAAGGTTGTCTACGTGCTGTATAAACAAGCTAGATAGAATCTACCTACATCAAGTATGCAAAACTAGTGGAAGAATTACAGAAGAGTAACTGTTTGCTTTCAGGCTGGCTCCTTCTTCCCTGGAGAGCAAATTGGAATTTAACCTGACACCTTTATGATCTTCGGATCATTTTATTCCTGGAATAGTTGTGCTCCACATTTTGAAAAGTTAAAATGAAAATTGTAGAACCCTGGACAAAGTTTGGTTGATGGAATTTAGATTTGACTGCTTCCAGCCACTTCTGAGTTTAACAAAGGAGGCTCGAGTATATTCTTCATGGAATTTGGCTCCAAGAAAACTCAACTCAATTTCCTGGAATGGAGCGGATTTGTGACTTCGGAGGGAAACATCTGCATTTCCTTTTCCAAAAATCCTCCCTTTGCGTTAGGCTGCACCCTGTGACATTTCCACCAGATGGCAATACAGACTTCGCATGGCAGAGAGTCTGGCTGGTTTTCACAATCTCTAGAAATATTTGTGTAAGCACTAGAAGAAAGCATTTTTTATAAATGAAAAGCTCCCATAACCGCCCCCCATTTTAAAGCAACCATCTTTATTTGCATATATTCACTTCGAGTTTTGTCAATATTCATAGTCGTAAGTACATTTGTAATGTGCATGGCATTTTAGTCTACTGTTAAAATTCAGCACAACGTATATCATTCACATATTTCTACATGACCTTCATAATTATCGCAGCAGTTACACACTATTACACATAGTAAACCCTTCCCCTATTGTTACATATTATGTGGTATGCACTTTTCACCTGTTACAGATAATGCGGCAGGTAATGTCACACAACTGGCATGCAGTTTTGGAATATTAGGAAGATTTTAGGGATAGGAATACAGGGTGAAAGACATAGATGTCTTTTGCTCTTTAATTTTTCCCGAAAGATGTGCAGATTTACACGGCTGTCAGCACTGTGAGAGGATCTGGGTTCTGACCAGTTGCACTAGGCCCACGTTTTTGTTTTGTTTTTTAAATCCTAAAAGTCAGGTGCAGGGGCTTTGCCTGTAATAGTAGCACTTTGGGAGAGTGAGGCGGGAGCTCAGGAGTTCAAGACCAGCCTGGGCAACAGAGTGAGACCCAGTCTCAAAAAAAAAAAAAAAAAAAAAAGAGAGAGAAAGGAAGGAAGGAGAAAAGAAGAGAAGAGGAATTAGGACAGGTGGCAATGGCTCGTGCCTGTAATCCCAGCACTTTGGGAGGCCAAGACAGGCAGATCACTTGAGGTCAGGAGTTTAAGACCAGCCTGGGCAACATGATGAAAACCTGTCTCTACTAAAAATACAAAAATTAGCTGGGTGTGGTGATGGCGCCTGTAATCCCAGCAACTCGAGAAGCTGAATTGCTTGAACCTGGGAGGCGGAGGTTGCAGTGAGCAGAGATCAGCCATTGCACTCCAGCCTGGGCCACAAGAGCAAAACTACGCTCAAAAATAAAATAAAATAAGATAAAAATAAAATAAATTAGACGGGTGTGGTGGTGCATGCCTGTAGTCCCAGCTGCTTGGGAGGCTGAGGCAGGAGGATCGCTTGAGCTGGGAGGTCGAGACTACAGTGAGCTGTGATTGCATGATTGTACTTCAGCCTTGGTGATGGAGCGAGACCTTGTCTCCAAAAATTATATATATGTATCCTAAGACATCTCCCATGATGATAAATTAATTCCATTCAACAAGTATTTGTTCAATCTGCTGTTCCAAGTTTGCTATTGGGTGCTAGGAAGACATTAATGAGGAAATACAGTCAGGCAGGGAGTCAGATTCTTCATCCTACAATTACATAAACCAGTGTCAAGCCCCTGCCATGACGGGCGCCATGTGGGAGAGTAACATGCTGCTCTGCAGCCCTGAGTGGGAGCGTTGCTGAGTCAGGAGACCCGGCCATCCCCATTTCCTCTTCCTTCCAGGCCTTGCATTTGCTGCTCCCTCTGTTTGGAGCACTGCCCAAGCGTTGTCTTAGCTCCTGCTGCGGGGAAACTGCATGGATCACCTGGGGTGGGGGCAGTGTCTACAGAGGAAAGGTCTTGAAAACGCACTTCTCCCGAACTAGGTGATGTTTTCTATGTGTGTGTGGCCCTTCTTCACAGTGGCCTCCTAGAAAAACAAGACCATGACTGAGAGAATACCTCTCATTTCAGTAAGATTGTTTGGAATGCTTTACTTTTTAAAAAATTTAATTTTTAAAAAATTTAATTTAAGTGTTTAATGTGGTAAAAAATATATAACATAAAACTTGCCAGCTTCACCATTTTAAGGACATAGTTCAGTGGCATTAAGTACATTCTCTTTGTTGTGCAACCATCACCACCACCCATCTCCAGAACTCTCTTAAAATCTTCCCAAACAGAAACTCTGTACCCATCAGACAACTCCCACTTCCTTCTCTCTTCACCCCTGGCAACCACCATCCTACTTTTTCTTTCTATGAGTTTGACAGCTCTAGGAATCTCTTATAACTGAAGTTATCCAGGTCTGTCTGTCTGTGACTAGCTGGTTTCACTTAGCATAATGTTCTCGAGGTCCTTTTATGTTGTAACACGTGTCAGAATTTCTTTTCTTTCTAAGGCTGAAGAATATTCCATTGTGTGGACCTACCACATTGCATGTATCTGTTTATCCACTGATGGACCCTTGAGTTGCTATGGAAAATAATGCGACTATGAACATGGAGATCTGTTCCAGTCCTTGCTTTCAATGACTTTGTGTAGATGCACAGCAGTGGAATTGCTGAATCCGATGGTAATGCTATGTTTGCTTCACTATTTATAATGTGCCTTTATGCAGATTGTGATAAAATTTGATCTTTACAACAGTCCTGTGAGATAAGTGAGTATTGGTCTCTGGTTCAGAAAACTGGTTTCTTCAAAGTGAAATGATAAATGGAAGAGTATCCTGACCTTAAACTTGGCTTTTTTTATTGCTCATTCACCTTGAAGACTGGTTCTAGTCACAAGTGTTACCTTCCAAGGACAGTGTCATTCTGGTTACAACCAGCTTGCTCCCCTGCCCTGAGCCTTCTGTCCAAGTCTGTCCAGGTGTGGGTCTGGGGCAGGGGACAGCTCACCTATTTCACACGGCATGGAACAGAGGCTGTGTCCTGGGCCTCAGCCACAAAGGTTTCTCCTTTGGGTTTCTGTTTCCCTCTTTCAGTTCAGAGTCTGTCATCTGAACCATGAGGATCTGGTGGTTTCTGCTTGCCATTGGAATCTGCGCAGGGAACATAAGCTCACAGAACACATGCAGGCAAGGGCACCCTGGCATCCCTGGGAACCCCGGTCACAACGGTCTGCCTGGAAGAGATGGACGAGACGGAGTGAAGGGTGACAAAGGGGATGCAGGTACTCACCTGGTGGCTTCGGCTGCCTTTCAACTTCTCTCTTCATTCTTTTCATCTCATTCACTCATCATCTGTGTGGCTTTTCACCTACCCATTCATACCCCATCCATCCATCCACCCACCCATCCACCCAGCAACACTCACTGGGGCCTGACCCCATTCATCCATCCACCCATCTGCCCAGCAGCACTCACGGGTCTGCTCCATGCCAGACTCTGTGCCAGGTGCTGGTGGAGAGCACAGGGTGAGATCGCCATGACCTCTACCCTCCCGGGTTCTCTCATCTCTGACACCGCAGAACATTTTCAGTAGTATACGATGTCATGGATCCTCCCACCTCAGGCGAAAGGTATGATGGATTTTTGGCAACGAAAGAGTAATAGAGATATCTGATTGTGAATTATTTGGCAGCAAGCAGCCAGCTGCAGTGCAGGTGAGAGCTAATACTGCATTGTGCCATGAAGCAGGAGATGCGGAGTGACAGATGACACATACAGCTGCTGCTTATGCGTCTATGACCTAGATTGGGACCCTGTCCCAGGGTCTGGGGATCTGGGGACAGGATCCATCCTCTGGGAGGGAGATTTGCCAAAGCTGAGAAGTCTGAGTGGTTTCCATAACAACAACCAATAGACTTGGTTTCTGAATGGGGTACCATTCTTGAGCCCTGGTCTTGACAGTACGGTTACATATCTAAGACTTATGCAGAATGACCCATCTGGGTTGAGGGCACAGTTCAGTGGCATAACAAAGAAAATGTCAAAACGTCTATGGACCTTTTTAAAGATAAGTTTGTGTTTCTAACATGTCTCCGCTTATGGCATTTGGTGGCCTGATGGTTTTTTGAATGGGCTGGATGAAGTCAAGGGTCCCCAGGAAGCAACTTTATTTCTTTGGAACCACCATCCTGCACATGTGCTCTGTGAGGTGTCTTCTCCTGGCTCACAGCTCCAGCTCACTGACACTGCTCCAGTGCCCGGTAGCGAACAGCCCAGTCCAAATGAATAGCAAAACCTTACCCTTAATGAAATCAGGTCTTCTGCCCTCACACCGGGACCACAGTGGGGTTTGCGTGTGTGTATGTGTGTGCATTTTATTTCTGAATATGTAGGATTTTCATTTTTTAAATTTTTGTTATAAAATATTACACACAAAAGGAGATAAATAGGTGGTAGATAAAAAATACAGAGGACGGCCGGGCGCGGTGGCTCAAGCCTGTAATCCCAGCACTTTGGGAGGCCGAGACGGGTGGATCACGAGGTCAGGAGATCGAGACCATCCTGGCTAACATGGTGAAACCCCGTCTCTACTAAAAAAAAAAAAAAATACAAAAAATTAGCCGGGTGAGGTGGCGGGCGCCTGTAGTCCCAGCTACTCCGGAGGCTGAGGCAGGAGAATGGCGTGAACCCAGGAGGCGGAGCTTGCAGTGAGCTGAGATCTGGCCACTGCACTCCAGCCTGGGCGACGGAGCGAGACTCCGTCTTAAAAAAAAAAAAAAAAATACAGAGGACTAAAACACTTCTATATTCAAAACCAAATTTCTCTACCTCTTCCCTGTTGAATTTCTCTCCTCTTTGCTCACCAATGTCCATTCTGTCAAGTTTCACATACTTCTTAAAAGCAAATGTTATATCTGTTTTTTCTATGTAGTTCATAGGTATTATATATAATATATATTATTTCTTAGAAGGATATTCATTCACATTGCTCACACTAAAATTTTACTTCATTTTTATCTTAAAGTGTATTTTTGTGTATGTTTTATAATAAACATTTTTTCATATACTACCTGTTCATAATTTAGGAACACATCAATGTCTACTGATTGGGGTCTGTGTTCATGCTTTGTGAGTTGTGGTTGTATGATCATGAAAGCTCTGAGGTCACTGCTCTAGAGAATGGGAGAAATGAGAGCCAAGCAGGAAACAAAAAGAGGGAAGGAGAGGAAGACATAGGGGAGCAGCCAGTGGAGGGGAGGGGAGGGGAGCGCAGGGAGAGGCAAATATAGGGAAGAGCCCCCTCCATTCAGAGGCCCCACACTGACCAAGGCCCCACTCAAGAGCGCTGATGTCCCAGGAGAACAGACATTGTGATAGAAATAAGTCTGCCTGTGTCAGTCCTGTCTCAGGACCTGCAAGCCGGCGCAGCCTGCTCCTGTCGCCCCACAGTCCGGTCAGTGGGACTGAAGTATGGGAGTCTCTGCTGCTTTGTGAGAAGCCAGAATCTGGGGTGAGCCATGGCCCAGTGAGCACTCTACTGCCATGGCCGGAGCCATCTTCAACCTGCTGACGGATAGCACGCCGACCTGGGGCTCTGGGGGCCTGTTCTGAGCACAAGGACTTGAGTGTGGTCAGCAGAGCCCCACTCACCTGATGTTCTCTGCCAGCTTGATTGGTGGCATTTCCCCCCCAGTCTAAGGCACTGGAGAGATTCTTCCAGAACTCTCTTTTCTATCTTGGGATAGTGTCACATAACCATAGTCATCTGTGTTTTCATGGGAGGCTAGTAAATCTTCCGTTCCACTCTCCTCAAGAGTAATGGAAGAGAAACAGAGTGAGGAAACCTACCCACACCTCCAACATTCAGACCATGTCCCAAGTCCTTGTCACAGGAGAGGAGCACAATCAATTGTGACAGTCAGTCCCCATTGCACACACTCCTTCCTCGTCCTGTCTTGCTGTGCACTCTAGGCACGTCCTGGAGATGGGCGCTTGGGAAGTCACTCAGTTCCTTTCTTAGATCACTTATCCCACACAGCTCAGCACCGCAGATGCCTGCTCGTGCCTGCCTCTCTCCACCTGCACTCGTGTGGAAAACAGAACGCCCCTCATGGTGGGGGTCACCCCTGAGACTCTCCAACACACATGGCTGATGGAGACCAATGACCAGAAAATCAGAAACGGAATTTCAACTCATGCCTGTTTTCTTCTTTTCCACCTAAGAGAGCCAGGACGTCCCGGCAGCTCGGGGAAGGATGAGACGAGTGGAGAGACAGGAGAACGAGGTACAAGTTCCTATTTATGATGCTCTAATTCTGAGCTGTCAAGTATTTAACAATAACTATTAAGTGTTTACCATGGACAAGTCCTCCATGCTGATTATAATCTTACAGTAAAGGCAGCACAGTTCTTAACTCTCCAGAGGGGGGATTCTGCAGGGATTGGCAGGCTTTGCAGAGGGCTGGGTAGGAAATACCCTCAACTCCGCAGGCCATACGGATCTGTCACCACTACTCAACTTCCCCTTGTAGTGAAAAGAAGCTGTAGATGCTCCATAAATAAGCGTGGTGTGTTCCAGTGACGCCATATGTGTGAAGACTGAAATGGGCATTTCCCATGGTTTCCATGTATTATGGAATATTATTTGTGACCATTTAAACATGCAAACCATGGCTGAGCACCATGGCTCACACCTGTAATCCCAATACTTTGGGAGGCCCATGTAGGAGAATCGCTTGAACCTAGGAGTTCCAGACCACCCTGGGCAACATATTGAGACTTTGTCTATACAAATAAAAAAATTAGCCGGACATGGTGGCATGTGCCTGTAGTCCCAGCTACTCGGGGGCTGAAGTGGGAGGATCGCTTGAGCCTGGGAGGTTGAGGCTGCCATAAGCCATGATCTCATGACTGCACTCCAGCCTGGGTAACAGACCAGGTGACCCTGTCACAAACAAACAAAAACCAGAAAAAAAAAAAAAATGTGAACTGTGTTTGTTTAGCTTGTGGGAGGGAAGCTGAATTTGGCCTGTGGTTGTAGTTTGCTGAACCTTGAACCTTGCAGTGGATGAGCACTGAGGAGCGAGACTGAGTTTTTGACTTGGTGCATCCGGCAGCACTGCATGGAGGAGGTGGCACTAGAACTTGTCCCTGATGGATCCCCGGGATGTAGTCACAGCGGCAAACTCGTGTCATCTTCACTTTGTGCTTTTTTCATGTGCTGACTCACCGAATGCAACATCCCCAGACACCGGACACTTTTATCACCCCCGTTCCATAGGTGAGGGAACAGAGGCACGAGGCTCACTAGCTTGTCTGATGTCCTGTGTGCATATGTGGTGGGGACAGAATGGAGACCCGGCATTTAACCTCAGAGTCCACACTTGCAACCACGGCTCTTTGGGATGGGTGGGGGTGCAAGGAAGCAGCAAGGTCTCTGTGGATGATGAACTGCTGGTGGGATGGATGGGTTGGGGCTGGGGTTGGGCAGGAGAGGGCAATGAATGCTTCGATGCAGGTTTTATTTTATGTTCACTCCAGGGTGGGGCTTTTTAGAGGATGTCACATGACTAGGGTTGAGTGTCAGTTTATCTGCCTGTCTCTGCTCTTTCTGTACGGATTGACATTTCACAGCCAGCATGTTAGACTTAGATGGTAGGGTCATTTCTAACATGAACCCTGACACTAACTTAGTAGACAGCAGTTAAAAGGTCTGTTGAGATGTGTGTGTGTGTCCATGTGCACACACTTGTGTAATTGGAGTAACTGACTTTCATTTATTTTATTTTATTTTTTGAGACAGAGTCTCACTCTGTTGCCCAGGCTGGAGTGCAGTGGTTTGATCACGGCTCACTGCAGCCTCAACCTCCTGGGCTCAAGTGATCCTCCCACCTCAGCCTCCTGAGTAGCTGGGACTACAGTTGTGCACCACCACGCCTGGCTAATTTTTGTATTTTTTGCAGACGTGAGGTTTTGCCGTGTTGCCTAGGCTGATCTTGAATTCCTGGACTCAAGCAGTCTGCCCACCTTGGCCTCCCAAAGTGCTAGGATTACAGGCATGAACCACTGAACTGGGCTGGAGTAATTGAATTTTATTTTCTTATTTTTATGATTTTTTTTTTTTTTTAAGAGTTAGGGTATTGTTATGTTGGCTGGGTTGGTCTTGAACTCTTGGCCTCAGGCAGTCCTCCTGCTGCGGTCTCTGAAGGTGCTAGGAGACCACCGCACCCAGATGGAGTAATTGAATTTTAAACTCTGGGTACATGTATACTGAACGTGTACACTACTTTGTTTCATTTCTGAGCTCAATTATAGAAAAACCGAAGTTGTTCACAAGGGAATCTTTCACAAACCATCTCTTTGTTTGCTCTTTCTCTATTTAGCAGCAGATGGAAAAGTTGAAGCAAAAGGCATCAAAGGTGATCAAGGTTCAAGAGGATCCCCAGGAAAACATGGCCCAAGGGGCTTGCAGGGCCCATGGGAGAGAAAGGCCTCCGAGGAGAGACTGGGCCTCAGGGGCAGAAGGGGAATAAGGGTGATGTGGGTCCCACTGGTCCTGAGGGGCCAAGGGGCGACATTGGGCCTTTGGGCCCAACTGGTTTACCAGGTTCCATGGACCCTATTGGAAAGCCTGGTCCCAAGGGAGAAGCTGGACCCATCGGGCCCCAGGGTGAGCCAGGAGTCCGGGGAATAAGAGGCTGGAAAGGAGATCGAGGAGAGAAAGGGAAAATCGGTGAGACGCTAGTCTTGCCAAAAAGTGCTTTCACTGTGGGGCTCACGGTGCTGAGCAAGTTTCCTTCTTCCGATGTGCCCATTAAATTTGATAAGATCCTGTATAACGAATTCAACCATTATGATATAGCAACGGGGAAGTTCACGTGCCACATTGCTGGGGTCTATTACTTCACCTACCACATCACTGTTTTCTCCAGGAATGTTCAGGTGTCTTTGGTCAAAAATGGAGTAAAAATACTGCACACCAAAGACGCTTACATGAGCTCTGAGGACCAGGCCTCTGGCGGCCTTGTCCTGCAGCTGAAGCTGGGGGATGAGGTGTGGCTGCAGGTGACAGGAGGAGACAGGTTCAATGGCTTGTTTGCTGATGAGGACGATGACACAACTTTCACAGGATTCCTTCTGTTTGGCAGCCCGTGACCGAGGAGAGCTGATGGATCGGCCACAGCATCCATCAGAATCAGCTTGGTGACGAACTGACTCAGATGGTTTTACTTTACTAATTCCTCCAGTTATTACAATAATCATAAAAAGGTGAAAACGGAAAAGTTATTCCCAAAACTGATTCTGTCTAACTTACTGTCTTTCCAGGAGTAAATATTGAAAATAGCTGCATGGTTTATTCCAATTTACTTCACATTTCTTATTCCTATTATCTGGAGAATCCTCTGCCTGTGTGTTTCTTGTGGGAAGAGTGTTTTGATCCCATTTGAGTGCTCTGAGGAGTCATGTGAGGATGTATCCCTCATCTGTGTTTCTGAGGACAGTAAGGGGAAAGTAAAGGGAAATCTTTATTCCATTCAGTACTAGTAACAGCTTTAAGTTGGTGATGCTGTCACGCTCCAGAAAGCTGTAGACACTGCTCATTTTGTCTTTTTTTAACAAATTATTTTTAAGTCCTGGGATACATATGCAGAACGTGCTGGTTTGTTATATAGTAAACATGTGCTGTGGTGGTTTGCTGCATCTATCAACCCGTCACCTAGGTATTAAGCCCTGCATGCATTAGCTATTTGTCCTGGTGCTCTGCCTCCCACTTTGCTCATTTTCTAACCTAGGTTTTAATCACCATTCCATCCAACAAATCATTGTTTGATCATTATTTGCCAGTGGTGAATCTCTGTTTGTTTTCTAGGATTGCCCTAATAAAGTACACAAAGTGAGAGTCTTTCAACAACAGAAATGGACTTTCTCAGTTCTGTAGGCTGGAAGTTTGCAATCACCGTAGCAGCAGGGCCATGCTCCCTCCAAAGGGGCTGCAGGAGGATCCGGCCTTGCTGCTTCCAGCTCCTGGCAGCTGGTGGCAGCATCACTCCCGTCCCCGCCGCCATCTTCAGGTGGCTGTCCTCCTCCTCCTGTATCAGCCACATTTTCCTCTTCTTACAAGGACAGCTTCCCTAATCTAGTATGACCCATCTTAATCATCTCTGCAAACTCCCTATGTTCAAATAAGGTCACCTGTACAGGCACCGAGGGTTAGGACTTCAGCATCTGTTTTGGGAGACACAGTTCAGCCCAATCTGCCCTCTGATTCCCAAAGTCGATTTCCTTCCCATGTGCGAAATACATTTTCGCCCCATCTCAACATTTCCAAAAGTCTTACCACTTTCCGCATCAACTCCTCTCACCATCTACGTCATTAAATAAGCTACAGAGGAGACCTCCTGGGTGATTCATCCTGTGGCCGAATTTCTCTCCATGTGTGATTCTGCGAAACCAGAAAAGTTAATCCACTTTTAAAAGACAGTGGTGCGGGGCGGGGGCCGGCGTAGGGTAGACAGTCCATCCCAAAGGAGAGAAAGCGGGAGGCAAAAAGGGATCACGGGTCCCAGACAACTCTGAAACCCTGCAGGGAAAATCCCATTAGACTGCTTTCACTGTTTGCCATCTAAAGTTTTTAAATGAGCTATGCAAGAGTAAAAAGTTACTGGGCAGAGACACCAAACAGAGAAGTGCAGGATGAATTTACCAAGAGAGTTGGTTAAAAGGGAAACTTCTCCTTCAGGCCTATGGCGGGCATTTCTTGTTTACTCAAGTACCTACCATCTCTCAAAAAATATCTAATGTCCACCGGAATTCGAATATATCATGATTTTGCCCGCGCCCAGCCCCCTAGTCACTTGGGAGGGAAGCGCAACCCTAGCCTTTCCTCACTCTGGACACAGGGGGCGGTAAACCGCGACGGCGGCTGAGAAGGCAGGGCAGCGACGCTCTTGCTCTCTGGACGTCAACGTGCCCACGTCCTGAGGCCACGCCCAGACCCGGAAGCGGAGCCGTCACGTGGGGCGGCGTGGGCCGCTGCCTTGGAAACGCGGAGCCGCGCTCCCGGCGAAAGCACCAGGGCAGGGGTCTCGCGTGGGAGGAAGGGAGTGCTCCGGGGATAGAATGCTGTGCGTCGGAAGGCTGGGCGGCTTCGGAGCCAGAGCAGCAGCTCTGCCGCCCCGGTGGGCGGGCCAGGGAAGCCTTCAAGCCGGGATCCGGGCCCGAAGGGTCAGCACCAGCTGGTCTCCCGTGGGCGCCGCCTTCAATGTCAAGCCCCAGGGCAGCCGCTTGGACCTGTTCGGCGAGCGCCGGGTGAGCGGCGCAGGAGGAGCTCCCCTCAGTCAGCGAGCTAAGCCGACTTCTGCTCCGCGCGGCCAGCGACACTCAGGGCCAGATTGTTTGGGCCTGGGAGGAGGCGGGCAGCGAACCCACCTCGTACAGTGGCGTCTTGTGTGCCCTCTCGATAAGGGCAAGGTCACCTCTGCTTTGAGGGGCCGGGTTTAGTGGTCTCCTCCCCAGAGTGTCGGGTCCGGGAACTGCCTCTGCATGAGCCACTTGCTCCACGTGAATCTGAATAGTTCGTCCTGATGGTGGCGGTGAATTCGGCCTGCCGGGACCCGCCCTCTGCATACATGCACCCGCACACCCGCTAAAGCCCTTTAGTTCCAGCGCTACAGTCCTGCCTTAGGAGGCCTATCCCTGTGCCTTCACAGGCGGTATCGCATGGTCTTTTTGCAGGGACACGGCTGCCTTAGTCGGGTAATGGTAATTTCATTGATACATGAAATTCCATCGCCTATTAATTTATTTGAAAGCTTTGGGCTTTCTTGTTTTAAAACACAAAACCCTGTTGCGAGGAGTCTGACTTGCCATAGTGCCATGGAATTGGTCACTTGGATTTCTTACCCCAGGAAGTCACTAGAGTGCATTGTGTAGTGGAAGGTGAGAAGGAGGCAAGGTTGGAAGGGACTTACCTGTTGCCTGTTCTACTTGGAGTTTGTATATTTTGTCCGTTTTAGGTTAAGGATTACTTTTATTTTTGCTTTTTAAAATTTCATTGTAGTGTATTGCCTTATAAAGAGGAGTCTAGGGTATTGCACTGAGCTAAGGTGTATGATTCTGGTTTTATCTCCATTATCAGCTTTGTCTGTTTTAAAATTATTTTGTGTGAAATTTGCCACACCACCTTCCTTAAGAGTATGCAATGTTGGTATTAACATAGTTGGTGTGAGAACTGCTTGTGGGCGCTGAGGAGAAAGACGTGAGGGGAAGCCTGATTTTGGGTAGATGAGATGTATCTAATTTTAGCTTTTATTTTTCCCTTTTGTATCTTGATACTCAGCACCGATAGCAGATTTTCAAATTTGTGAATTGGTTTTTGCCTTGGAAAAAAAGGTTTATTCAGTTTTTTAGCATTACGAAGGTCACTGGTAATCCGAGAGTTAGAATTCCCGAGGGCAACGCGGCAATAGGGCAGGTTGTACTGGAAAGTGGAATTAGTCTGCGCTTGAATCAAATTAAATCAATATAAAGATGACATTTGTTTTTAGTCCTGATTCTCCTTTGTCCCCCACTGACTCTCTTTTATTTTTCTAACTTGTAATATATTTTGAAGAGAGATTAATAGCTTAACTTCATCCATCCCTTGTTGTAGAAACAGTAGGCCTCATCAGGCCTGAAGGTTTACCTGCTGCTATTTCTGAAAGTGTGTGTGCTAAACACCTGCCAAGTTAATTAACAAAGCCCAGCCTCTGCTGCGGTCATTTGTTTCCTTCATTGAGTTCCCCCCATATGTTAGACGTTCTGTTGGATAGCTGGTTAAAGAAATGAAGGGCAGCGCTCTTGGGTCTGGAAGCTCACCTTTTCAGGAGAGAAGACTTTCAAACAGATTGTAATTGAGATTGTAACTGTAATAGAGAAGTATGGAAAAGTGTGGGCTTTAGAGATGTACAGAGCGGGTTCGAGTTCTGGCTTTGCCAATATTAATTTGTGACCTCAAAGAAGTTTTTTCTAACCTCTTTTTTTTTTTTTTTTTTTTTTTGAGACGGAGCCTTGCTCTGTCACCCAGGCTGGAGTGCAGTGCCGCCATCTTGGCTCACTGCAAGCTCCGCCTCCCGGGTTCACACCATTCTGCTGTCCCAGCCTCCCCAGCAGGTGGGAGTACGGGTGCACGCCGCCCGCCCAGCTAATGTTTTTGTATTTTTGGTAGAGACAGGGTTTCACCGCGTTAGCCAGGATGATCTCGATCTCCTGACCTCGTGATCCGCCCGCCTTCTCTAACCTCTTAAAGCATGTGTCCTAATCTATAAAAGAATGATACTCTGTTCTGTAGGATTGTGTGATTGAAATGAGAACCTGTGTAAAGTAGCAGGCGCACTTCATGGTATGCGGTAGGTGCATATTAAATGCTTTTTTCCCTGCCTTCCTGAGTATGCTAACAAGTGTGATTGAATAGGTAACAAGAGAATGGTCATTGCCATTAGATCAGTGATTTTTATTTTTATCAAGATATTGAAATGTCTTTGGAACGTATAAAATTTGCTCCCAGTTTCAGCCTATGATTTTAATATGTTCATTAAATTTTTCTAAAATATCTATTGCTTCGTGGTCAGCTCATCCTCTCTCTTTGATAGTTGTAGAATAATTGGTACTGTGTACTGAGATCTTACTCTGTCAGATATTGCTTTTAGTACTTTACATATCCTTAGTATGTGTATCCCTGCTGTAAGATATGTATTGTCATTCCCATTGTACATGATGAAAAAATATGAGGCCTAGGAGGAGAAATAACATGACCACGGTTATAAACTAATAATAATTATGGCTGACATCTATCTATCAAATGCCATGTGCTAAACACTGCTATATATATATACACACACAAATACACACACACATATATATTTACATATATTATCTCATTTAATTCTTGCAGCCACTCTTAGGTTCTGTAGAAGTGACAGAGCTGGATTTTGAACCCATATCATTTTTTTTTCCAGAAAATAGTTAAAAATTGAAGAAAAATTATGTTCTGGGAACATTTTTAGTGTAATTTATGTGGAGTGATATGGGGAGTATGATAGTAGTATCCGTGATCACAGGTATAACATGATACCCCAATGAAAGCCAAGATTTCCTTTGTGATAAAAGTAATTTTAGTAAATATCAAAAAAGCACAGTTTTGAATTTTGGTTATAAATCAGACGTATTCTTTGGTTCTAAGGGTCTTTTTGGAGTTCCTGAGCTCAGTGCCCCAGAAGGATTTCATATTGCACAAGAAAAAGCCTTGAGAAAGACAGAATTGCTTGTGGACCGTGCGTGTTCCACCCCACCTGGGCCCCAGACCGTGCTGATCTTCGATGAGCTCTCGGATTCCTTGTGCAGAGTGGCCGACTTGGTAAGATGCTTTGCCTTAGACTTGAAGCTACTTCTCTTTCAACCCTGCTAAAATTTAAGTGAAGTTTATCCTTTGTTGTTTACTCTTAATATTAGATTATAAAGTTAATGTCTGAAACTGTTTGAGATGCGTTAGGTATGATTTTTTATGATGAAATATGTCATTAGGAATGGGGAAAATGTTATCAGAAAAGGTGATATTTAGAACTTGTACTTTAATATAATATTTAATAAAATATACATGTAATATAATGAATGATTACTAATATATATTTACATATATATTCATTTGACAGAGGTTCTTCATTTTTGAACGCTTCTCCCCAAATTCTAAGAACACTTTATGTGTACGTTTACAACAAAATTCCTCTTTTTCTTTTTTTTGCTGTAATAGAGACAGGGTCTCCCTGTGTTCCCCGGGCTGGTCTTGAACTCCTAGCCTCAAGTGAACCTACTGCCTCAGCCTCCCAAAGTGCTGGGATTATAAGTGTGAGCCACTTCTTTTTCATAAGAGGTGTGAGAACCAGTTTTAATAAACCTTTTCAGGAATGCTTTTTTTAAATTAAAAAACAAGTTTTAACATCAAAATGATTGTAAAGCCTTTTTTTATTTTTTTAACATTTTAAAGTTGAAATAGAAGTGTATACCTAGATCTCTTCACCAACTAGGAAATCCATTGCTGAGATAGCAAAATTTTCTTTTTCTTTTTTCATTTTTCATGTTTAATTTTAATATGCCTCATGTATATATTCATGAGGTGCATGAGATGTTTTGATAGGGACATGCAGTGCACAGTGATCACATCCGGGAAAACGGGGTCTCCATCCCCTCAAGCATTTATCCTTTGTGTTACAAACAGTCCAATTATATTCTTTTAGTTATTTTAAAATCTACAATTATTATTGCGTGTAGTCACCCTGTTGTGCTATCAAATAGCAGGTCTTACTCATTCTTCCTGTTTTTTTGTACCCATTAACCATTTCCACCCCCCCCCACACACACCACCCTGCTACCCTCCCCAGCCTCTGGTAACCCTCCTTCTACTCTATTTCCATGAGTCAATTGTATCTATTTTTACGTCCCACAAATGAGTGAGAACATGTGATGTTTGTCTTTCTGTGCCTGACTTATTCCACTTAACATAATGACCATCCATGTTGTTGCAAATGACATAATATCATTCTTTTTTATGGCTGAATAGCACTCCATATTGTGTGAGTACCACATTTTCTTTGTCCAGTCGTCTGTTCATGGACACTTGGGTTGCTTCCAAATCTTGGATGTTGTGAACAGAGCTGCAACAAACATGGAAGTGCAGATACCTCTTCCATATACTCATTTCCAGGAAGCGGGATTTTCCGTCAGCCTGAAGGAGCCGACTCTTGGTGACTCTTGTCAAGGAAAGCAGCACACACAATTTAAATAGTGATCATTTATGATCCTGTCTACATGGTATTGAACTACATAGGTTTTTCCCTCACATTCAGTCAATGTTGAGCACCTACTGTGTGCCAGACACTGTCTGGGCACGAGGTATACGTGCAGGAGTGAAACAGCACAATCTCTTACTTCATGGAGTTTATATTCTGGCATTAACTTGTTTTAGATTTAACTAGGCTGGAGGCCCTTTCTACAGCTCAGTTAGCTGAAGAAGCTTTCTCTGGATGAGCTGAAGTAACCTCAGCATAGCTCCATTTTCACAAGAGGGAAGAAAGGCATTGGGTGATGAAGGGATGTGCCTGCTGTCGCCTGGCCAGAGTGTGGTGCAGCTGGGCTGCCAGACCAGGCAGGATATCTGTCAAGCTCTTCTTCCTCCTGTTCCAACTGTTTCAGGGCTGGCTGGCTGCTCGGGTCTCATGAACCCTTACCTGGAAAGCTTGCAAAGTTTGTTATAGCCTCTCCATTTAAAAAAAAAAAGTACTTGTTTTAAAAATTATTATACAGTAAAATTGACTTCTTTTGGAGGATGGTACAATTCTGTGAATTTTAGCCTGTATAAATTTGTGCAACCCTCACCACGATCAGGATACAAAGCTGTTCCATCAACCCCCAGAAGTCTCCCTTTATAGTCACACCCACCCCTCCCCACTAACCTCTGGCAACCACTAATCTGTTCTCTATCCCTATAGTTTGGACTTTTCTAGAATGTCACCTAAGTGGAATCCTGTATACCTTTTGACTGACTTCTTTGACTCAGCATAACTCATCCCCATCTTTATTTTTTCCTTTTTTGGAAAATTTCCTTCCACCCACACACTTGACTTGAGCATTAACACCTTTCAGATATGTTCACCACAAGCTTCCCTTTCTTAAGGAAACTGATAAAGTATATTATTGTAAAGCGTTTTTCTCTGGAGTGAAGTTGCAGGCTCTGGGTAGTTCTGTTTGTACTAGGTTTTTGTTCTGTGCCTCCAGTATGTGCATAGAAAATGTGTCTTTGAATGTTGGGGGAGCTGTGGAAACGCACTGCTCAAAAGAAGGTTTCATACCCTGTTCACCTAATTGTGTCACTGAAATCAGAAAATGAAAATCTGTGTCAGTGAATTTCACTATATAGTCAATCCTCCAGATTGGGGGATCTGTGGAGTCAACCTACCTTGGATCAAAAATATTTGGGAAAAAAAAATTTGCATTCATACTGAACATGTACAGACTTTTTTTTCTTGTCACTGTTCCATAAAACAATACAGTGTAACAGCTATTTACATATTATTTACATTCATTAGGTATTACAAGTAATCTAGAGATGATTTGACGTATGGGATGTACTGTGTATCAGTTATATGCAAGTACTACACCATTTTATATCAGAGACTTGAGCATCTGTGGATTCGGGTATCTGTGGGAGGAGCTAATCATTGCCCAGTGATACTGAGGGGTGACCATTGGCGTGGCTGTCAGAAATCCCAGAATTCACTGTGTATTTTTTGTCTTGGTCTTCATCTTAATCAGTATTCTAGGATTTTTTTTTACATTTTCGCTTTTGGTCTTCACTAAAAGATTTTAACTTCTCTGCCCTGTATCTTATTTTCACATTTTTAATATTTATGTATTACAATATCTCATTCTGAAAACTTAAAAAAAAAAAAAAGATGTGATTTATATATGTAATTATCTGAATTAAAAAGAACCTTTCTCTGTTTTCGATTTTTAAGATATTACCTGCCAGTAAGATTAGTACTGTTATAAGACAATCGTTTTATAAACTGTTTTTCACCAAGTAGTCATTTTATTTTGTTTTCTCTCTTTAATACAGTTTTATGTAACAGAACTGTTTTCCTCGTCACTATTACAAATCCCATTTTTAATATGTATGCTAGTGTTTTGAATTTTAATATTGATTATAAATTCACAACCTGTAGATTAGTAATTTGTAAAAAAAATGTTGTAAATTTATGTAACTCATTTTTCAGCTACTTTGGTACTAATGTTATTTTATCGTTACCAGTTGTTACAACAAATATATCAAACTATGGACTTAAATGTTTTGGCATTAAAAACTATTTGATAATAAAATTAGGAAATTTTATCTTGTGGTGATTTTATTTCATGTTATAGTCACACATTTTCTTGGCAAATGAAGAAAATATGTAGTGTTTCGTAGTTTATCTGCTTTTTGACATGAAAACGAAAATTTACTTTTACATCATTTTATGTTTTTAAAAAAGAATTTTCACTCATTTTAATTTCTAATGACTTCAGTAGCAGCAGTAGTAGTTGTATACAGTATTACGTGGAAACTATGAACTCATATTTTATTAAAAGGACTGTAAAGAGACTGCCTTTGTTTTCTGCACAAAGACTACAATGTAGTTAAATCAAAGACTAGAATGTAGTTAAGTGGGTTTTGAAACTATACTGTATGTGTTAGTTAAAAAAAGCCTGTAAGAGTTGTTTTCTGGAGATAAGTTAACATGTGAGAACCATACTGCAAATAATTTTAGCCAGAAAGTTGTAGAATATTTGAAACCAGTGCCTGCTCTTTTGAAATAAAGAACTAGAGGGCGTGGTGGTGGGCACCTGTAGTCACAGCTACATGGGAGGCTGAGGCAGAAGAATGGCGTGAACCCGAGAGGCGGAGCTTGCAGTGAGTTGAGATTGTGCCATTGCACTCCAGCCTGGGCGACTCTGTCTCAAAAAAAAAAAAAAGGAAGAATTTGCTTGGTGTTTATATTTGAAAGAGAAAAACTTTTCTGAAATAAAGTTAATAAAAGTTTTTTTTTTGAAACAAACTTGGTTTCAAGGAATAACAATTAAATGTTCTGAAAGAAGCTGCTTTGCTTTTCTCGCTTAGGAAAAAGTCAGTAATGGAAATGCATCGGCCAAGCCAATGGCACATCTTAAAACCTGGTTTTCGTTTTCACCCTCAGATCCTGGAAGAAAGCTTCTCATCAAATTCCCTTTTGGTTTTGTCTTTCCCCTTTATTAGGCTGATTTTGTGAAAATCGCTCACCCTGAGCCAGCATTCAGAGAAGCCGCGGAAGAAGCTTGTAGAAGCATTGGCACCATGGTAGAGAAGTATGTGCTGTTCTCCCGCCCCCTTCTGTGCCTCGTCCTGGGTGATCCGGTTTCATGGACTTGTGCAGTTTTGTCCAGTCCATAGTGCTTGTCCCCCGCCCAGCGGGGTGGGAGGTGTGAGTGACGGGGTGGCCAGAGGGAGGGCTCAGGACAGGCCTTTGGCTCACCTCACAGGCGGGCACTGGGCCTCGGGGCTGGTTGTCTGTTCTTTCCGTCATTTCCTTGTCTGTAAATGGGGTGTAAAGTTAACCCTGCCTCAGGGTCCTTGTGAGGGTTAAATGAGATCAATGTAAAGGTGTCACTTGATAATCTAAGATCGTAGACACCCAGGATTCTTGTCATCACCATTATCACTTACCTTAAACAAGGGCTTTTAGTATCCTAGTGGCAAGTTGAACTTACTAGATTCTGGCTTGATTAAATTGCTGTTGCATCAGTGGCTGTGGGCCACAGGGCGAGAAGCCAAAATGCTGTATAAACAGTGTCCCTGTGGCCCCTGTCAGTTGGAATTAGGGGAGTCTAGGGAGGCCGTAAAAGTCTGTGGGAGGGCTGGCGCAGGCTCTGGCTGAGGCTGTGATGGAGTGAATTATTTTAAAGTGATTTTGAGGTCAATGTAAATGTTTTTAAGCCACTCATGAGAGCTCCATAGTGCTTGTTAAAATAACTTATTGGTGGACGGTGCTGTATTCCAGCACACTTAGCTGCATGGCACCATGCCAGGCAGTGTACAGAGCTAGGGAGAGCCCTGGGCTCGCCAGCGTGGATTTACAACAGGGGAAAGGGGGTAACACGAGAAGACAATTTCATATACCAGAAGTAGTTGGAGGAGGAGAGTGATGGCTTCTCTGGTTAGACGAGGCTCCCTTGGAAGACCCAGCACTTCAGGATGTGCAGCAGCTGTTTTTCCCCAGGTCGGGCAGCATTTGTTCACTTTGGCACGATCGTGTGTGACTTTTCCCACAGCCGCTGAAAACCAGCTCGCGGAATGGGGTAGAACTGGGCCCTGCAGAGTGCAGGCGCTGGGCACGCTGACCGGGCTGAAAGCGGGGACTCCCTGGGAGAAAGCTTTGCCTCTTGGGGAAGGGCCTCTGGCAAGTCGTCAGCAGTGGGCTGCCTGCTCCAGGCACTCTGCACACTGTTTCCTGCCGAATTAGACACAGGCCGGTCTCGTGGACAATCTCTCTTCATTTTGTGGGAGGACAAATACAGACAGAAGTATGGGCTTTATCTCAGGGTCTTCCAACGTAAAACATAATGGGATGATTTCCTTAAACCTCTGCAGTGGGGGCAGTGCGGGCAGCCTCTGAACTGCTGTCCCTTTGCCATGGAATGGCTCCACGGGTGAGCAGGTTAGGAGGAGGTAGGCCTTGGCACTCACTCTCTCCGTGACTTCTGGGATCCACGTGTGGGAGTCTGGCCCTTCTTGGTGAGTGTTTTTTGATGAGTAATGACTACCTCCATTTCACTGGTGTTTGGGAAGGCCCATGAGAATGGTAGCAGAAACCCTTCGATTCATATAAATCTTCAGTGTGTTTTTGTGAACCAGCTGAGGAACAGGAGTATCGCTGACTCTGTGAGTAGGGACTGGTGAGTGGTTCTTACAACCTTATCCCTCCTGGAAGATCTACCCAGCAGGGTGCGGGTTGTGTCTAGACCCAGCTCACTACTCAGCTCTGAGAGGGCCATGGCATTTGCATTTAGGGAAGAGGACTGGGTTCTTGCCAGTGGTACTGTGGGGTGGGTTAGAACCACTGCCCAGCCTTGGGCCCTTTGCTCTCTGAATGGCACAACTGCTCAACAGTGGCCATGGTTCATTCACACAGGAAATGTGTGCTGCATACGTGATCTCATTTAATCCTCACGGCAGCCTCAGGTCTAAATAACGTGTCCAAGGTCCCAGAGCGGTTACAGGGCCAGTCTGGCATCCCAGTTGCATGGCGCTGAGGCCTGTGTCCTGAGCTCTCCTTTACAGCGGTTTTAAATTTAAAAATTAGCTGGGCGTGGTGGTGTGTGCCTGTAGTCCCAACTACTTGGGAGGCTGAGGTGGAAGGATCACTTGAGCCCAGAAGATCGAGGCTGCAGTGAGCTGTGACTGTGCCACTGCACTCCAGCCTGGGTGACAGAGTGAGACCCTGTCTCCAAAATAAGGGAAAGAAAGAAAGAAGGGAAGGAGAAAAGGGAAGGAAAGTGGGAAGGAAGGATGGTTACACTGTTCCTGGTAGGTTATGCTGTTCAGCTTCTGGGCATGTGTATGGTACAATCTGACACCATTCTTTTCATGTAAAGTTAAAAATAAGGTATTCGAAAGTCAACTAATTTTTTACATTTCTAATTTTTCTAGGTTGAACACAAATGTGGATTTATATCAAAGTTTGCAAAAATTACTAGCTGATAAAAATCTTGTGGATTCCCTTGATCCAGAAACAAGGTACTCACTCATTTCTTTGCCTTGGTTGTGACTGTGACTCTAGAGGTGAGGTTGGGAGACTCTCCCTCAGGGCCTCTGGACTTGCAGCCTCTTCTGTCTGGAATGTTCCTCCCCAGGTATCTTTATGACTCCTGCACTTTCTCTAGGACTCCACTCAAATGGTGTCTCCTCCCAAATCTTTACACAGGGTCAGACTTGGTTTTCAGGAAATGATGTTAGACCAGTGGATAACCATTTGCGGTAAAAAAAGTAGACTGATTAAAGATGTAAATATTTTTAAAAGAAATTATAAAACTAGTGGTAATCTTGGGATGTGGAAGGTCTTTCTTGGCATGATACAAACTCATACCGCAGAAGGATTCATTGATTTTTATTACATAAACATTGCAAACTTTGGTATGGCAAAACGCTTCCACATTCAAAGTCAGAACACAAGAATGTGAAAAAATGGTTCTTACATGACAAAGGGTTAATATATTAACTATGTTAAGAGAACTTTCAAATTACCTTAAAAAAAGAGGAAAGAAAACCCCCTTATAGAAAAATGGGCAAAAGATTCTCTTTGTGAAACTCTCATTTCACAAAATAAGGAATAGCGACAGATGGCCCTGAAATTGATAGCAGTGTGCCACAGGTGTAACAGTGGCAACAAGTGTGAAGTGGGTGGAAGTGCATCTCCAGAATGGAACTGCGGGGTTGGACTTTGGCTTCAGAGCTCGCTAAGCCCTAGTTTTCTCCTTTGTAAAAGGGAAATAGAAAGTACTTCCTAAGAATCATATGAGATGTAAGGAAAATAATTTGTATAAAGTGCTTTGCTCTGTACCTGGCATGAGACCCACCACCGTTAAGTAAGTAGAATGAAGCTGCTGGCTGACAAAGTTGAAACAGAATAAGAATAGCACTTCTGGTTTGGGATGATGGGTCCTCTAGTTACGTGTAAGTTGATAAGTCTCTATGGAGGAGCATTTGGTAATATATGTCAATGTGCATACTTTTTGATTAATTTCTCGGAATTTATCCTAAGGAAACAAACAAGGATTAAAAAATGTAACAAAGATTTTTATTATATTGTGGTTCATGGGAGTGGGAAAATAAAAACATTTGCATTCTCTATGACAATACAAAACAAGCATTAAAAGCCAACTTTTTGAAGAACGTTTAAAGACATGGAGAACTGTTCAATGTTTGTGATGTAATTTTACAAGAGAAAGCAAGTATAAATGTATACAGTTGGGCCTTAATTATTCTAAATTCTAAATTATTCTAAATATATTATATATATATAGCATTAAAACTAGATTGAAAGGAAATACAAGAATTTTAATAGTCATTATCTTTGATAGGATTAGTGATTTTAAATGTTTCATTTGTTTCTGCAATACAGTTTTGTCACATAATAGACCTGTATTGTGTAATATGATAAACGTGCACTATAAATTTCCATTCAAGCTATATTTGATGTAATAATCAGGAAGGTAAATATATCTATTTTGAAAACTCAAGGAAAGCCAAAAGAGTAGATCAAATATTTGATTATTTCCATTCAATGTTGTTGGTTTTTTTTTTTTTAAATACCGTTGACCAAAAAAAAAAAAAAAGGTGTTACACTTGAAATTGGTTCCAAGCACGAAGCAGGAGTAAAAAGAAAGAAAACAATTCTCATTAGCCAAGAAAGTCAGCGTCCAGCACAGCATCAAAGGATTTAATATTCTAAATAGCTGCTACTGGCTGGAAGAAAAACTGAAAATCTCATGCAGAGGGCCTTTGAAAAATTGTCCAAATATAAAACCTGTTTTATGTTTTTAATTATTAGGATTTGGATCGAGTTGAAATAAATAAGTAATTATTATGGTGGCTTTCACAGGTTTGTACTCTCTGAATAAAGGAATAAGCTCTTACATGACGAGCCAATCGTAATCGTCAGTCAGATGGATGTTTTGCCTGACTTCTGAGGATATTAAGATCCTTGTTTAAAACAAAGTGTGTGTGAGAGTGTGTGTGTGTGTGTGTGTTTTGAAGAAACTTTTGGCAGTGAGGCTCAAAAAGACTGATTTATTTAACAAAAAACCACAATATTTTTTGTTAGTAATTTTTATTACCTGTTATAACCTGGGGCTCATTTCATTTGTAGGCGAGTGGCTGAACTGTTTCTGTTTGATTTTGAAATTAGTGGAATCCATCTAGACCAAGAAAAGGTACATCTTTTCTCTGTTTTTGTGACTCTTCCTGTTTTACTAACATTTAGCTGATCTCATTATTGCTACAGTCCTTGTATATATTGCTTGAATTTGCATACTGCAAAAATGTGCAGGTCTTTTTATCTGTTAGGAAATTCTTCTATAGATTGTATTTGAATGTAGCCCTCTCTCTAGAAGTTGACCTGTCACATCATGATAATTCAGAATTAAGAAAGACTTGAGCCAAGTGGAGTGTTTTAGATATCATGGAATTAGGATGAGATAGGCAATATCAGGAAAGACTGCCGAGTGAATGGGAAAGCTGATGTCATTGAAGATGGGTAGTACAGAGAATATCATTCAGACCTTACGTAAGTGTATTGATTTGTATTATATGTGTGTTTGACAGATGCAGCAAGCATAGATTACACAGTGTTTACACTGGGATGGAGGGCCTTCTGCCTCGTCCAGCCCCTTCATTTTACAGATGTGGAACCGAGACAAAGTGATTTGTTCAAGTTGCCATCCTAACTCACAAACGGCCAGTGTCAGTTCTTAAAATTTCTAACACTGGCCAGTGTTCTTTCCGGCGCGTAACTTCCTGAGGAACCAAGTGCCTCATTTCAGTTTTAAATTCAGGGTTGGAAGAACAGGAGAGGCTTGACACCATTGGAAGTTCAGCCTGCCCCCCGTCCCCCCATGGAAGTTCAGCCTGCCCCCCCGTCCCCCCATGGAAGTTCAGCCTGCCCCCCCCCCCCCATGGAAGTTCAGCCTGCCCCCCGTCCCCCCATGGAAGTTCAGCCTGCCCCCCGTCCCCCCATGGAAGTTCAGCCTGCCCCCCCGTCCCCCATGGAAGTTCAGCCTGCCCCCCCGTCCCCCCATGGAAGTTCAGCCTGCCCCCCCGGCCCCCCATGGAAGTTCAGCCTGCCCCCCATCCCCCCATGGAAGTTCAGCCTGCCCCCCCGTCCCCCCATGGAAGTTCAGCCTGCCCCCCAGTCCCCCCATGGAAGTTCAGCCTGCCCCCCGTCCCCCCATGGAAGTTCAGCCTGCCCCCCAGTCCCCCCATGGAAGTTCCGCCTGCCCCCCGTCCCCCCATGGAAGTTCAGCCTGCCCCCCAGTCCCCCCATGGAAGTTCAGCCTGCCCCCCCGGCCCCCCATGGAAGTTCAGCCTGCCCCCCGTCCCCCCAGCTCCCCTGCAGTCTAGACTGTTATGACTTTTTGTTTGTTTGTTTTAAACAGTAATACATTCTTCCTAGTAAATATGGTAGAATTAAATCACTTACCTATGAAGAGATTAAGTTATCAGAATATCTTGAAAGTAGAAGGTAGGGCCTTGGGAATATGTATCACATACAGTAGGTGTTACCATGTTGATAGGTGCCGAGTTTGAGTAATGCTGGAACCCTCACACATCTGATGTGTCTGTGTGGTGTTCAAGGCTCAGCGTGTGATTCTGGTCTGACCCTGAGCCAGGACGTGCCTTCCCAGCGGCCCGTGAGGCTTACGGGCTCCACTGTAAACTCAAATTGCGTAAAGTGACCACATTTGCCCCCTTCCAAATCAGTTCTTCATTAAAACTTCTCTGTAAAAGAAAATTTTGGAGTGAGTTGTATTCTTTTCCTTCCTAATATTCTCATATCTTCTCACCAAGTCCTTGCATTGTTCCTACGGTCCTGCATCTGTCTGCATCCTAAAAGCAAATCATAACACCTGGGCTGTTCTTAAGGCCTCTGTCTTCCTAACAGTCATTATATTTAACATCAACTGAGCACTTGCTATTTTAAATCATATGTTTCTCATCAAATCTTCACAACAACTTTGTTCTTGGTGCTACTATTACTTCTGGCTTTTTTAGATGAAGAAACCAAAGCTGTGGAGGTTGTGGGAGGTTATTTTGTAAGCCAGACAGACTCCAGAGCCTGCATGGCCAGCATGTCACCATCCCGCTGGTCAGTCTTCCCTGTCTGTGAACATTGGATTAGTTTTCGTAAAGCATTGATTTGTTACTTTCCTGCCCAGAATCGTCCTGTGGACTTCCCATTGTCTAGTGAACTAGCGAAGTTAACATGTAACAGAGAGCTCACACTTGCGGCTGTGCTCCGGCTGTCAGCCCCTCATACACCGTGCCCTCCCCGGTGTGTGGTGCGCTGTCCTCCTAAGCCTGCTCACCAGGTTTCCCTGGCCGAAATCCCCATGAAGGCTTCATCCTCACGCCACATTGTCTGTGAAGCTTTTATCAGTCCCCCAGGTGGCATTTTGTGTTCATCTGAATGCACTTTACTTATTTCACTCGTGTGGCATTCTTCTTTACCTCTTGGTGATGATGCTACTGTTATTGTTGTGTTGCTTATCTAAATTCTAGGCTTACAAAGGATCGAGAACATGGATCATGTTTTTTTAATGCATATTAGTTTTGGACTCAATAAAAGTATTGAGTGAATGTATGACAAATCATAATAATGCTAGCTGTCATCAAGTTTGATATCTTCAGAAGGAAGGTTGCTACTAGAGAATCCAGGTGAATAGTTTTAGTTTTTATGTATCCTCATGAAGGATGCTTTTGAAACTTTGCTGACAAATAATATAGGTTCAGTTTCACCAGCATAGACATTGCCGCTTTTATCTAACATACTATCACAGTGTGGCTCCTTTTTCCCAGTGAGCAGCTCCCTGGGGAACCCATCAGTATTGAATATGCAAGTAAAGTAAACCTGCTCAGTGTTTCCCTTGTAACTTCCATGTCTGTTCTCAGAGGTGCTCCACTAGGACAGAATATAAAGTGGACATGTTCCTTTTTTCAAAAGAGAGACCATGAAATAAACCCACCAACAAAATCTATAAATCGTCAAAGCCTATATTCTCTCCAGTTGGTTTCTTATTTAATTAATTAATTAATTTTTTTTTTTTGAGACAGAGTTTCACTCTTGTTGCCCAGGCTGGAATGCAATTGGGCAATCTTGGCTCACCGCAACCTCCACCTCCCGGGTTCAAGCGATTCTTCTGCCTCAGCCTCCTGAGTAGCTGGGATTACAGGCATGTGCCACCATGCCCAGCTAATTTTGTATTTTTATTAGAGACGGGGTTTCTCCATGTTGGTCAGGCTGGTCTCAAACTCCCAACCTCAGGTGATCCACCCACCTCAGCCTCTCAAAGTGCTGGGATTATAGGCGTGAGCCACCACACCCAACCCTAATTTTTAAGGTCTCATACAAATATAAGTTTACAATTAATAGAAATGTTTATTTTTAACATTATTTAATAACACAAATTTCACAGAATTTTTGAAGAGTTCAGATTATTGTACATTTCATTGTTACCACAGAATGATGAAGTGATATGCCTGACAGCTCATTGAAGTTGGCGTGAACTCAGTTTTGATTTTTCCAGAGATTTTATCAGTTGATAAAATCTTCAAAGTAGTTAATTTTATCACTTTTTTTTTTCAAAGTAAAAGTTTTGAAGAAAATTTTGGTACTGTAATGTGATTTCAAAATCTTGTGCATCTTTTTTGTTATTCTACTTGTTACCATTAGGTGGTGATAAATGGCCATATCAGAAACAAAATAAGCAAAGAGAAATCTGGACTGTAAAGAAATGGGTCTCCGAAAACTTTTTTCCATGAAATATGAATTTTCTATATTCTGGGGATATTGATATACAGTCAATTTTTTCAGCATCTTATCAAGCATACCTCTACATCATCTATGTTTATCTTTAAAGAGTATGTTAGTATTGTGGCTTAATCATTTTTTAGAACACAGAACAGTTTAGAACCTGTTAATTGCTGTCTCCCCTCCGAGAAAGATTTGTGTACACTTTCACCCGAAGCCCAACATGAGCCCAGTGCAGAGCCTGTCTAGTTTTTTAGCAACCAGTAACTGATAATTCAACCCTTCTCCAGTCAACCCGACTATTATGTGGATTCTAGTTTATATTTCATCTTAAAGCATTTATGGCAACCCCTTTGCTAATACACGTTTTCTCAGGTGATTGTGTGTTACAAAGGTTAAAGCTAGGCGGATGTGCCGGCACCATCCACGTCCTCATCACTGACCATTTGAGGGCCTGGCAGGAACGAGGACCGTGTGCCACGTGACAGGGACACAGAGTAGAAGACAGGACGACAGGACCATGCCCTGGGGCTCCGGTCTACTTCTTAGACTTAACCGTATCATTCTGTAGCAGCTCAAGCACATGCAAAATCAGAACTTTTTTCCCTCCCGAGACAGGGTCTCACTTTGTTGCCCAGGCTGTAGTGGTGTGATCGTAGCTCACGGAAGCCTTACCTCCTGGGCTCAAGTGGTCCTGCTGCCTCAGCCCCACAAAGGGCTGGGACTGCAGGCGCGTGCTACCACCCCCGGCCAAAATCAGAACTCTTAAAATGTGCTTCCCCACTTCTGGAGGCTCACCACACTTTTGCAAAGAACTGTATTTTTTTTGAGACAGAGTCTCCCTCTGTCTCACAGGCTGGAGTACAGTGGTGCGATCTCGACTCATTGCAACCTCTGCTTCCTGGGTTCAAGCGATTCTCGTGCCTCAGTCTCCCAAGTAGCTGAGATTACAGGCACGCACCACCACGCCCAGCTAATTTTTATATTTTTAGTAGAGATGGGATTTCACTATGTTGGCCAGACTGGTCTCCAACCCCTGACCTCAAGTGATCTGCCCTCCTCGGCCTCCCAAAGTGCTGGGATTACAGGCGTGAGTCACTGCACCTGGCATGTGATTTTTAATGTTGTTAGTTTCAACAATTCGTTATGTAACCTAGACATAAAATAGAACTAGAAGTTATGTAAACCTTAAAGCATAGAAACATCAGAAAACCATAGTATGATCTTTTTGTTAGAATATTAAATATCTGTTAAAAGTAAAATTAATATATTATTTATAAAATATAGTAATATATTCATTTTACTAACATATTTAGTATTTTATTAAATGATAACAATGTATATGTTGATTTGACATCTTTATATTTTGCTTATTAAATTGTGAAATATTAATTCAAAATGCCTTGAAATAACTTTTACTCCTCCTGCATACAGCGTAAAAGAGCAGTGGACCTCAATGTTAAAATCTTGGATTTGAGTAGTACATTTCTTACGGGAACCAATTTTCCCAACAAGATCGAGAAGCATCTCTTACCAGAACACATTCGTCATAACTTTACGTCTGCTGGGGATCATATCATCATCGATGGTCTCCACGCAGAGGCCCCAGATGACTTGGTATGTATGTTTCATTCTCTTTGTTGTTTAGGTCCCATCTGTGTGTTGCTACTGTTTTAACCCAAAATTCAGTGATAATATAACAGTATCCTTAAAAACTTTTTAGCATTACTAAGCCCTAAAAATTTAACTTGTGGAATTATTAATGCCATAAACACTTAAAAGAATGAAACTGATTTAATTACTTATATTTCATACAAGACTTCTTATTTTTAAAGTATGATTAATAACAGCATTGACTGACATTCTAGACTACAGAGACTTTTAAATTCGTGCAGTCTTACTTCTCCTGGTTAAGACGCTGTGTAGCATAGAGATCCACGCACTGGGTAGAGGTTTGTCCCGCCATACCTCAGAACAGTGCCCTAGAGCTGCAGTCATGTATGCTGTTGCATCCCATGCTATTGTATGACTCTGGAAGCTTTATCGCCTTGTGTAGACCATTGCTTTATTTTGAAAGCAGTGATCATCTGCAGATAAAGTGGTGAGCATGAGCCTGTGTTATTGTCGCATAGGACTGTGTCATGGTATTTATAGCCTTCACCATTTACTTTTTAAATGTAGGTGCGAGAAGCTGCTTATAAAATTTTTCTTTATCCCAACGCTGGTCAGTTGAAATGTTTAGAAGAATTGCTCAGCAGTCGAGACCTTCTGGCAAAGCTGGTGGGGTACTCCACGTTCTCCCACAGGGCTCTCCAAGGAACGATAGCTAAAAATCCAGGTAAGCCTGTTTATCCAACATTTCAGGGCAAAATAGGATTTTTATGAAACCGAGTTTTTGATTTTAAATAGCTGTAAATTAGTGTTCTATTTTTAATACATGCAGAGAACCATTTATAGAGATTTTCTATGTATTTTTATAGGAACCATTTTTAAATAGAGCTAATAATTTGGCATCTATTCTGTCCAGCCAAAGAACTTTATTTTATGTGAATGTTGAGAGTAAAATCATAACCTAAATTTTCATTTTGATGTTAGTCTAAATTGTTTTCATTTTAACTCAATTAGTTTCTGTGCTCCATTTGACCAGATTGGTTAGAATTAGGGTGAGAGAATGAAAGATCAGTATTTTACTGAGGTCGAGATAATTATAGGTTAGGTCATGTAAAAAACACCCAGTCAGATAGGCCTCCTTTTCAGAGGGAAGAGTCCTGCTTTGGAAGGTTTGTGCTAGGTGAGGTGTTACGGAAGTGTGTTGTTGGGTTTGTCATAAACTGCCTTGTGCTATGTTGAGTTCCTCATGATTCATAATGTCTAAGAGAAAATGTTACACAATAATAATATAAATGTACATAATACGTTTTTTCAAAAGCATTTATTAACTTACAGTTGTAATTTAGATGGTGAGTCAGGAGTAGGGTGGCCATGATGGTGGAGCTGCGTGAGACCTAAGGTCTTGGCAGTGAAGTTGCCAGACTTAGTGAGGATGAGGGGAGGAGGAGGCAGTGTGGTGGGTCCCCTGGGGTTCTAGTTGTATATCTGGTTAGACATTCCACTCACGGACAGAGGGGACACTAGGGGCAGATCACATCCTGAATCCTCGCTTATCTTTATTCCTTCTGTGCTTATCCCTTCTCACCCTAGCATGTTCTTCTCTTCTCCAGAGTTCTCTAAATGCACTCAATCTTGCTTCCTCCTCTTTCATAAACAGCTGTTTCCCTTGACTTGTCAAGGCTCTCGGTTAAGCCACAGGCGTGTGTCACTCATTGCGGCCTGGGTTCCCTTGCTCATGTCACTGTCCGACAGAGAGCAGCTTTTTTTCCTAGTCTGCCTGTTAAAATCTTACCCCGTTTTTTTAGTGCTCAGCTCAAAACTCCTCTTTCATGAAGCTTGTTAAACTTTTTCACTTTCCTTGGACTGCTTTGTCCCTAAACCCTTAAAACACTTACAGTTTGTTTCATATAATCGAAGCTCCTAAACAGATATAATATGTATGTTATATATTAAATGTGTGTTTTTAGTGTATGTTTTTTCTTTTTTTGTAAGTATCAGTTTGGTGGAAAGTATGTTTTTCTGTAGTCGCTGTTGTCAACAGTTTGCTTATAATAGTACCATATTTTTATTTTATATTTATATAAAATAATAGTATTAAAATATCATTCAGTGCCTACTCTGTTGTTATCTCATTTCCTTCCTCTGCAGCTTTGTGAAGTAGGTATTTGTGTTCATGTCACAGATAAGGAATCTAAGATTAGGTTATATTGCTAAAATGTGGCAGAACTGAAGCCTAAACACATATTCTACATTTATGGTTTTCCATAGGCTGCTTGAGACCTAATGCCCTATGTTTTATATCCTCTACATCCCATTTGTGTTTATTAATTCAGCAGATATTTACTCATTGCCCACTATATGTCAGATACTGTTCTCAGTCATGATGTATAAAGCAGAACAAAATTCCTATCCTTATGCCGTTTACATTCTTGTGAGCAAGGGAAGACAGTTAAGAACGAAATGAGTAGATAAAGTATGTGGTGTGTTATTAGTTAATACAAGCTGTGGAGAAACGGAACAGGGAAGGGGATAAGGAATGTGGGCTTGTAGGCTGGTGCTGGAGTTTTAGAGAGTGTTGTCGGAGGGCTCACTGAGAACATGGTGTGTGAGCACGCTCTTGACAGGCACAGGCGTGAGGCTGTGGCTCTCGAGGGCAGGAAGGTTTTGCGCAGAGTCACTGGCAAGTGCTAAGGTCTTGAGGCAGAAAAATGCCTGCCACGTTTGAGGAGGGCGGAGTGGCTGAAGCGCAGTGTGTGCAAGGAGAGGTGGCCAGAGGTGGCTGACAAGGGGCAGCATTAAGTAGAGACAACGTGAATGCAACAGGTCGCTGTGCGGGTTGGGGCAGAGGAGTGAGAGATGTGACTCCAGTGCTCATGGTGAGAGTCAGTGCTGCTGCTCCTGAGAGAAGACTGCAGCAGGGCCAGGGTGGAAGACGGCCTGTTTAGATGCTGTTTTGCAGTAACTATGATGAGAAATGTTGGCATCTTGACCAGGTAGTAGCAGGGAAGGTGGTAAGATGTGATCAGATTCTGGGTACATGGTATTTGGAAGAGGGAGCCAACATTTTCGACCTAAGCAACTAGAAAGAGTGAGTTACTACTGTTAACTAAGATTAGGAGGACCGGGAACTTGGTTTGGTTCAAGTTAAGTTGGAGACACCAAATGAGGTTCACGTGGCCACGTTAGGTAGGCAGTTAGATAGAGTGTGGAGTTCTGAGCTTCAGATGTAAGTTTGAACCTCTAAAATGAGACTCTGAGACCACTAGGAGAGTGAACTTAAAGAACAAGTCCAAGGACTGCGCTCTGGGGCCTTCAAGTTTAAGAGGCCAGGCATGTGAGGTACTGCTAGTTAACGCTGCCAGATGTAACGGCCAGTAAGGGAGGTGGAAAGTGATCACAGCGTGTGGTCCTGGAGGCCACGCAGAAGGTTTGTCTACAGGAGAAGGGAGAGATCAGCTGACTCATGCTGTGGCCAGGTCAGATGTGAGGAGGGCTGGGCATGACCACCGGCTCTAGCAGTGTGGAGCTCACTGGACCTGCAGCACCCAGCGCCAGATTCCGTGACTGGCAGGTCAGCCTTGTGCACTAAGCGCTTGGTGTGCTGATGTACTGGCAGGGGGCTGCTGTGCACATCATCACGTAAGATGTGCCCTGGGTCCTTGAGGATTTAAAGCTTAGTTGAGGAGCCGGATATATGCATATAAAAAGATAAATGGTAATACAGGTTGGCACATTTTCGGTGCTGATGGAGTAGTACAGACAAAACAATGCCGTGGAATGTAAGAGCTCGGGGAGTTTGTCGGATGCATCTGTGGCTGTTGAAGGCACCCTGAGGGAAGTGAAGCCGTCATGCGCAGTGTCAGAGTGAACCCTGAGCAGAGCAGAGAAAGACCGGAAAGGCTGACTGAGGCTAAGCGGGCATTCATGTGGACGGTGAATGTGGAGGTAACTGCGGTGAGGCACTTAGTGATTTTCAGGGGGTTTCAAACTCAGTCTTAATATGACAGTTCTCTAGGGACACTAATTGAGGCAAGCCAGGTGCAGTGTCTCATGCCTGTAATCTCAGCGCTTTGGGAGGCCGAGGCAGGCAGATCACTTGAGGTCAGGAGTTTGAGACCAGCCTGGCCAACATGGTAAAACCCCATCTCTACTATAAATACAAAAATTAACTGGGCACGGTGGCAGGTGCCTGTAATCCCAGCTACTTAGGAGGCTGAGGCAGGAGAATCGATTGAACCCTGGGAGGTAGAGGTTGTAGTGAGCCGAGATGGCACCTCTGCACTCCAGCCTGGGCAACAGAGCAAGACTCTGTCTCAAAAAAAAGATTAGTTGAGGCAGATTCTTCACATGTAAAATGACTGGAAGAATAAGATAGATGAATGTTAAAAGAGGGTTATTAAGAGATAAAACGTATACAAGCATACAGAAGGATTCATTTGAAAACAGTTTGGTATGGCACCTGGAATATAATCCTAAAATGAGATTTCATTGTTGAGTAAATAATGTCTTTGTTCCCCCAAAATTCCAATTGTTGTTTCATATGGCACATGAGCCAGTGTTTTCAGAATTCGTATACACAGAACTTGTTAAGTATTGACAGTGGCAAGAAACCTCATGGTTTGGGTTTAGGTTAACCACCGTTATTTATTTCCTTAGCCTTTTATTTCACACAAAAGGAGGTAACTTAAACTGAACAGAGGGCAAGAAACTTAAAACTGTATTAAAGATTATCTGGAAAACATAAACATAGTGTTTGTAGTGAGCTAAAATACATATGAAAGCTCTGTATACATAAGTCAGTGATAAAAAGTGCTACATTAAAAAATACTCATAAAACATTTCTTCTTATGGGAAATGGTGGTAATCCTACTACACTGCCTTTATGGGTTTGTAGATTATGACAACTATAGCAGAAGTATTTTAATAAAAGTACTTTAAAAATTCTATCAGAAGTTAAAATTTATTTTTCTTATTTTGCTATTTTTTTCATATTTATCCTGAATAGATTATTCTACAGTTGTATATAAAAATAAAATTGTTATCAAGAAAAACATTGATTTTAAGAAATTCATTTCAGTGAATCATACTTCTACACTGCACCTATTTTTAATGAACAAAGCAGAGTCTAGATATCTCTTTAAAACTTTGAAAACATCAGACATGTCTAAGAATGTTTTTTCTTACACATAGGAATGGATAGAAGCACTTTGAAATTTTGGACTTTTTTCTTTAGCTTCCAATTAACTTGTTTTTTTTTTTGAGATGGAGTCTCACTCTCTTGCCCAGGCTGGAGTACAGTGGCACGATCTGGGCTCACTACAATCTCTACCTCCTGGGTTCAAGCTCTTCTCCTGCCTTAGCCTCCCATGTAGCTGAGACTACAGGCGTGCACCACCACGCCCGGCTCATTTTTGTATTTTTGGTAGAGACGGAGTTTTACCATGTTGGCCATGCTGGTCTTGAACTCCTGACCTCAGGTGATCCACCCCCCTCAGCCTCCCAAAGTACTGGGATTACAGGCGTGAGCCACTGCACCTGTCCCCTTAACTCTTTTAATTTTGGGATATAATCTGAGGCTGTGTATTATTGGTGTGCCAATTTAATTTTTTTCTGATTAAAAGATCATCATCACCTAGAAGTATTTACTATATGTTTGGTATATATTAGTAGCTCTACTTCCCTTTGAAAATCATCACTTTAAGGGAATTGTGGTATATAGATTATGATCATCATCTAATAATTTTAACAGATATGTTCATTTTATTTCACATAATTGAAGATATTTTCTTTTGGATTTCATTTTAGAGACTGTCATGCAGTTCCTTGAGAAACTATCTGACAAACTTTCTGAAAGGTTAGTTTTTATTCTACCATTTAGTTTTTTGGTTGTATGTTATTTAGTCATTTTAAAGAAGACTTGATTTATAAAAAATTAGGAAGTGGCCTAGAATATAAGTTTTGGCATATTGGACCAGACCTGTCTCACTATGAGACATAATTTGAAAGGCCATAGTTGTCTTCCTTAACGTGCCATTCTTGAAAACATAGACTGTCCCCTTTCATTAAACAATTGTTTTTAGAAATTCATCTTTCATTTGCACTTTAAAAATCTTTACCAAAATGTTTTTGAAACTATTTTAACTTGTGCCATGAGTTTTATGACACGTTCATAAAGTAGTATTTCTCTTCTTTTGGCCTAAATACAGGAGGCTTGTGGATGTGGTGTCTTTTTGATTTTCTGTAGTATTTTAAGAATGTTCTGTCTCAGCGTTTGTAATTTCAGGCTGCAGTGTTTTACTGCCTTTGGTGTGCCCGTTTGTTATATACAAGTTGAGTGTCCCTTATCTGAAATGCTTGGGACCACACATGTTTTGGATTTCATTTTGGGGGGAAAATTTGGAATATTTGCATATATGTAATGAAATACCTTGGGGATGGGACCCAAGTCTAAACACGAAATTCATTTATGTCTCATATACACCTTATACACATAGCCTGAAGATAATTTTATACAGTGTTTTTAATAATTTTGTGCCTGAAACAAAGTTCTGGCTGCAACTCATCACGCGACATCACATGTGGAATTTTCCACTTGTCCCATCATGTCAGTGCTGAGAGCGTTTCAGATTTTCAGATTAGGGAGGCTCAACCTGTATTCCCGCCTCCCCTGCCCCTCCCCTGCTCAGTGCCTTCAGTCATGCACTTGCCCTTCACTGGCCCTCTTCCAGGACTTAGTTGAGAGGCAGCACACCTTTAGGTACTAAGGATTCTAGGAAGAAGCAGTCATGGTTTGTAAAAAAGGATGATGTTTCCTCTTGCTCTCTTGTGATGCTGTCTAAAATTTTGTTTGCCTTTTTTGGCTACACCAACACATTGGATCTTGGCTCACATTTCTGTTTTGGACTATAAACTCATGCCTGAGAACTCATTCCTCTCTAGTTTGGATTATGTTTATAAATTCTAAAATTTTCTTTTAATAATCCTGGTGAACCACTGTGTCTTTGATACAGTAAAGAGGGTTAATTATGCACTTATTGAGGATTTATCCTGCTTTACTCAGTTAAGTGTTAGTAGTCTTTCTCTACATAGCTGTAGATTTTTTGAGCAAGCATAGCTTCATAATTTTACAGGTATGTATAGGAGTTAGGAGTTAATTCCAATATACATGTCATATTCTACAAATATTAAATACTTATTTAATTATTGACCAGCTAGAGTTTTTCTATAGGGGAAATATGACTAGAAATCTTAAATGTAGCCAATGATAAAATTCCTTTCTAAAGTTAATTTGTTTAGTCTCTTTAAAAAGGTATAGCAAAAAGTAGTGATTTAGTAGTGATTTAAAGTTTGCTGATTAATGCTTTGCATATTTGTAATGACATTGCTAGTTTTTCTAAGCTTTAGGACTCTTGAGGCATATATCCACCATGCTGCTTTTTAAGGTAGAAATTGAATATGCTGCTTTATATGTTGTTATTTCTCATGACACTTAGGTAAAATTTGGATTAATAATGATTTACATGTGCACTACTAATTATATCTAATCTTCTTATGAATATTGGAATGTAACATAAGCAAGCTAGTCCTTTCGTAATGTAATTATTAAAACTTTGTCCTAACAAGTAATGATAAACCTGTTTTACAGAACTCTAAAAGATTTTGAGATGATACGAGAGATGAAAATGAAACTGAATCCTCAAAATTCTGTAAGTATGTTGGAATATTTTTATTATAGACAGTCTATCAACTGAAATCCGTATCATTTGGTTCAGGAACTTTCTTGTGATAGGCTAGAGGTCCATTTAGTCTTGTTTCTGATCCTCAGTTTTGGTGAATAAAGATGTTGAAATATTTTATTCTTATGTCCCAAACTGATGTTGCCTGTACATATAGCATTTTTGTTGAGGAGTTGACGTATTTTGTGTAAATACACTAACACAATGTGTATATATTCATGCAGAGACTGCTTTCATTCTGTGGAATGTTGGCTTCTCAGTTTGAAGCAGACTTTAAGGAGTCTCAGTGGAGGCTTGATCTGGCAGGTGATAATTTTAACCATCAGTGTTAACATTACAGTTCATTTGCTTATTTGTTTGCTAATTTATGATGCCCAGTTGAGTAGGTCAGTATTTGACTAACAAAGTATACCACTAAAAACACTTAAGTGTTGTTTTCAATCATATGATTATATGATCTTCCTTATGTGGTCCAACAGTATAGACAAGTGTTATTTTGGCCAGAATGCTGCCCAGGTGATTAGGGGAGGACCCTGAAAAGTGTCGAGATTTCAGATATTAGGACTCATTCCCGTTTGGTTCTAGGGCACTACAGGATTGCCGGGGTTGTCTACACCATTCTTTTCCAAATGCTGTTGTTAATTCTTGACTTAGTTGCTGCTGCCAGAGCCATAGTCATAAGGAAGATTTAGGGAAATGGGCCTTGCAGATTTACAAACTGTTTACTAGCTTCCCAGATATAGCCACTAGGAAACAGATTAATCCCATTAAACTCAGTGATGTGTAGAGTAGCATGTCAGTCTGTTAATTTATGGAGGGAGCTGTGTCTAGCAAAGTAACTAGTGTTAGTCATCTGCACACCTTGGCCTGGTAGGTAGTCTCATTTGGGAGACTAAATAATAGATAAGAATTTAGTTTGGTGACTATAGAAACAGAAAAATAAAAAATAAAATGTGTTGCCAAAAGCTAATTCAGTAAAAGTGAATATGACTTTAAACTGTTATCTGTAGACACTTGTATATAGCTTATGGATATGATTATTCTGCAGATATTTGTGAAATGCCCAGTCTCCTCATGAAGTCCCTGTTTTTGTGAATGGTGCCACCATTCACCCTGCTGTTCTAATCAGGGCCTGTACTTAATCCAGACCAGTGGTTCTCAAAGTGTGGTTCCTGGACCGGAAGCAGTAGCATCACATGGAAACTTGTTAGAAATGCAAATTCTTGAGCCCCACTTCAGACCCACTGAATCAAAAACTGGGGCGAGCTCCACAATCTGTGTTTCAACAAGCATCTCTAGGCACTGCACACTGCCCTCCCCCTTAATCATTTGTTAGTTCCTGCAGATTCTCCCGTCCTGTGAACTCTTGTGTCTTCTCCTGTACCCATTGCCATAGCCTGGGTTGGGATCATTATTCTCACCCAGATGGTAACTGGGAATGCCAAACTGGTTTCTAGCCTTTTGTTCTTGCTGTACTCAAAGCCGTCTTGGATTCAGACAGTTTAACCATGGTTTTAGCCCAGTGTTAGGCGTAGAATTGGTTGTCAACAATTATTTGAACTATGAATGAATAATAAATGAAGGAATTGCCACCAGAGGGATTTGTCTAAAAAGCAGATCTGATCTTCTCACTCTCTTGTTTAAAATTCTTCAGTAGCTCCTGGTTATTCTCTGATTTCCCTTCCTACTGCCCTGCTGCTCCCATCAAGCCCTCATGATTTGGCCCTTGCCTGCTTCTCTAGCTTCATCTTCTGCTGCCCCTCCAAGCCGAGGCTGTGTTCTTTGCTCTCTCCTAATAACTGTGCAATGCTCATGTGATCTCTATTCACTTTGTTTTGCTTTCTTTCCTTGCTTTGCTTTCTTTGATTCTTTAATTTGAATTACTGTTTACGTACTGGCCACATGAATATGGCATGGTGGGCAGCTTCCAGTCATTTGCAAACACCACCTACAGGAATGCCTTTCCCCCTTTCTCATCTGAATTAACTGTTCCTATCATAAAACTCAATTCAGGCTTTGCCTTCTCGAGAACATTTCCTAACCTTCCGCTGTGATTTAAATACCCTTCTCGTGGACTGTGTTTTACATGGCACAATGTAGACATGACATGCTGTCCTCTGATTGTTGAGTCACTTGCCTTTCTACTGCCTAAGCTATCATCCTCTTGCCTTTGCCTCATTACCGCCTGCACTCTGTCTGCATCTAGCAGATAGTAGATAATCATCTGTTAGAGAAAATGTGTGCCAAGACCTGAACACTGTGGGGCCAGGATTCCATGGACACAGTCCCTGCCCTTCAGGCACTCATGGGGAGAAAGAAAATAAGCCTACACGTATCTTAGGTTGTCATACATCCCTTGATACAAGTATTACCATGGAATATGGGAAATAACACCTTGTTATTGGAGGAGATTATGCCTAAACTGAAATGTTAAAGGATAATGGTACTGAGGAGAGCAGCTAACATTTGTTGAGCCCTTACTCAACGCCAGATACTCTACTTAATAGTTTAAGTACATTCAGCAATCTTATTTGGGAGGTACTGTTGATGCTTTCAACAAGTATTTACTGAGTGATTATCCTGTGCCAGGCACTCTTCAGGGTACAGGAATGTAATAGGGAAGGATACAAACAAAGTCCCTGTCGTCATGCAGTTTATGGTCTGGTATGGATTGGAAACTTGAGCCCAGGCAGTCTGTCTTCACAGCCTGGTCTCTTAACCACTCTCTTGTCCACCTGGAGACCTAGAAGGAGGACAGTTCATTCAAGTATTCAAGCTTTCCCTTCTTTCAGTATTATATACCAGTCATCAGAAGCAACTAGTACTGTAGTACTTCTTTATGACATATTTTCTTTGCCAAGATTAGAGTTAATTCTGCCTGGGTTACACTTTAAATTGTTGCTTTCATTTTTGATATCTACCCAAAGCTTCTTGCTTAGATTTAGAAAGAACCTTAATCTTACCTTTAGTACACTCATCTTACCTGCAGTATGTTTTATGGATTAATACATGGGTTACATTTTGGGAAAAATTTCATTATGGCTAATATAATTCATTAATGTTTACTTTTATTAGATTCCACTTTAGAATGACATTTGTTTGCCTTTTCCCAGATTCCGTAGGTCTTATTTATACCTTGCTCTCCTTTGATTACAGGGAAGTCAAAATAAGGAGCCAGGTATTTTCTGCCAAGCTATCAATTTTTTAAGGGATTCTATAAAATTGCTCTGATTTACATGAACAGTAGCTGGTTTACATTCTATAAACTGGCCACGTTGCTGATAAAAACTGAGAAAGAGTCAGTAGCTTTCCTTAACAGTGAATTATTCCGTTGTAGGAAGTAATGCCTTGGGACCCCCCCTACTACAGTGGTGTGATTCGTGCAGAAAGGTAAGTTTGTCAAGAAATACCCATACAGGAAAAGGAAAAAGGAAACTGATGTTTATTCGGCAGCTACTGTCATCCACTGAGTCACCCACAGTACAAATCCTTCCCCTGACACCATCCTTTCTGCTGGTGTGGTCTGCTTCACTCACGTATTCTTCAGCTGCTTGTATCATTTCCTTGTTTAAAACTCTAGAATCTGGTCCCTCTCCAGTCCTGCCCTTGCGTAGCTTTCTGGTTCTCTTCCTAGGCTGTGAGCTTTGCTGGAATCCTTGTTGTGTCCCGTTGCTGGTCCAGAGTAGGGGCTCAGCACGTGTTTACTGAACCAGTAAAGGAATAAAGCAGTACATGGCATGGTGCTACGTTATTTTCTTATGTTTTCTCATTTTTATTTGGACACATATATTGTCAACACATTATTGGTCCATCTGGAAGGATTTAAACGAAATACAGATTTAAGGAACTTAAGTTGACAGAAGTACTCCTCTGGTTTCTGTATCCTCCTGTGTTTATTATATTGGAGAAAAGTAGGTATGTCCTTCTGTCCCTACATACACACTATTTCTGTAATTTTTATATTTATTTATAAACCCAAGAAATAGAGCTCTTTTCACAGTGAACACATTTTAAAATGTTTATAGCTCAAGCAACTTTATATGCCCAATAGGAATTTTACAGAAAAAGCTCAGAATCTTACCCTTTAATAACTTGTTAACATTTTTCTCTTGTAATTAATTTTTGAGATACACTGTTTAAGTAGCAGAGTTAAGATTGATTTAGGTAATAGAAGAAAATATAAGTTTTTTTGTTTTTTCTTCATTAAAGCATACCAGCATGCACTGTGATAATATGTTTATTTATTTGGTATTAAGCTTTAAAATATTTTTATGACTATGCATTATTGAAGCATCAAGTATAGTAGGTACTTCTCCAAAATAAGAAGTAATTGCTTAATTATTTATTTTGGCATTTGTCATAAAAACAGGAAACAATAACTTTCTATGTTCTTTTCTATACCAGCAGGATGAGGTAGCCTAAGATCAATGAGTGTATTGAAGCACTTACTTGCTTAATTTTCATTTATTTTCCACTCTTTGGGCTGCATCCATCACTGTTGCCAAAACCATTTTTACTTACAAGACATAATTGTCTCCTAACCTTTAGTTAAGAATATTTGGTCAGATACTATTTTTTATTTTTATTTTTCATTAAACAACTCTTTTTAGAGACAGGGTCTCACTTTGTCACCCAGGCCAAAGTATAGTGGCACAATCATGGCTCACTGTAGCCTCAACCTCCTAGGCTCCAGCAGCCCTCCTGCCTCATCTTCTCAAGTAGCTGGCACTACTGGTGCGTACCACCATACCCAGCCGATTTTTAAATTTTTTGTAGAGATATAGGTTCTTGCTGTGTTGCCCAGGTTAGTTAGCTACCATTTTTAAAAAATGTATCTCAGATTCAGCATCAGTCTTCTTTTTAGTGAAAACACATAAACTGTTATTCAAAATCTATAATAATTTGTTTATGGTAAACAACAAGGGTTTAGAATATATTATAGCTTAATGTAAGATATTGTTTCACAAAATTGTTTTCTGGTTGCAGAACTTGAAACCCTGCTCCCTATAGTTGCATTAAAAAATAAAATTTCTCTTTTAAAATTCTGTCAAAGATTTGGCTTGGCTGTTTCACCTGTTAACGATGTAGCATAAATCAGTAGTAAAATTTATTTGTACTTTCCATGTTTCTGTAAAGCATTTGATTTTGACATTGGACAGTAATGTAAATTAAATATATTTAATATTTAATATTCTAATTTTTAGAATTCTAATTTTAATTCTAAATATTTAAAATATTAAATATTCTAATTTTCAGAATTCTAATTTTAATTCTAAATATTTAAAATATTGAATATTCTACTTTAATATTAAATATTCTAATTTTTGCTACTCTCATTTTTATGTGGTATTCCTTTCATACGTCCCCCATACCTGATTATTTTCAGTAATGCCTTAGCCTTAAATGTGATAGTTTTTTCGTGTAACTATACTCTGTAAATATAGCATATGCCCAAATGGTGGTTCCAAGGTAGGAGATCAGCAGGACTTGTTTTCTGGTCACAACCTCCTGACCAGAACAGAATCTGGTCCAGACAGGATGAAGTAAAGAAATCAGCCCAGACCAGCAGATGGCAAGGAAAGGGATTTCTGGCTGCCCTCACTGCTTATTAGCATAAGACACACCCACCAGCGCCATGACAGTTCACAAGTGCCATAGCCAATGACCCAGAAGTTCGCACCCCCTTCCTAGGAAGTTCTGAATAATCGTCTCCCAATTTGCATTAACCCACCCCTTAATTTGCATCTAAATAACAGTGGGTGTAAATACAGCTGCCTACAGCCCACAAGCCTGGCTCTGGGTGCACTGTAGGATCTGATCACAACCTACTTTTGTTTTACAGAGAGAAACATCTCTACTCACATTTATTTGTTCTGATTTTTCTTCCACCCCTGCTCTTCCTCCACAGTTTATCCCAGCCAAACCCCTTTCTGTCTCGGAGGCAGAACCTCTGTCGGGGGAGCAGTGGGTTCCCATTGCCTCCCTGGTTTGTCTTACACACCTGTGACATCTTGCCAGGGGTCCATGAAGCCGCTGAGTCTGCGCTAGCCTTGTGTAGCTCCTGGCTTCGCTGTGCTAACAGCCTGTGTGCTGCAAAGTTGACCTGTTAATATGTTCTTCTGGACGTTAAATGTGTCTTGTCAACCATATTTAAAGCTCTGCAAGAACAAACATTCTGGACCTTCAGTAAATACATATTAATTCATAGCCCCTGATTTAATCAAGCTTGTATCTAGACCAGTAACCATGAAAAGCAATCCAGTGAAGAGTTTTCTTTTTAGAAGGAGAATGCCATGTTTTTGCATGACATGTTTGCAGTGCTCACTGGTTGATGGAGTCTTCCACCTGCTTACTAAGTCCATGAAATCACCAGGTACGCTGGGAACACAGTGTAGTCTGCCAGATAGCCATGTGGGGCTTTAGCTTATCTTAAAGTTTTAATACTAATTTATTTATTTGGCTATTAACTCCGTAAAAGAACCAGGAAAAGGGATACAGAAACGCATCAGAAGAGGTTATAAGAATCAGGTTTTAAAAATCTATTTTAAGTAGCTTAACCGGCAAATGATAGAGTTTTGGTTTGAGGCTTCAGTAATCTTGATTGACAAGAGGAGGCTGCCGCACAGGTAATGTATGAGAAAAGAAAGGAAAAATATCATAGGTTGGGTTTGAGTTAGAAGAGTGGAACAAAGTGAAGATTTCTAAATCCTTGTTAAATTCATCACCTTTCAAGTAAAGACTTAAATGTGTGGCTTGACACAAAATGAAAAATAGAAGGGGCTTTCCTTGATTTGAGCTTTTTTTCAGGTTAACCTCAGGGAGTCTTTTGCTTTTACGTTAAATACTCCAGATTTATTTCAAGTTTTTAATGTTTGTCTAAAGAAAAGTAAGAACCTGTTTAGAAGTAGGAGGAGAAATTAACATGTTTTAAAAGTGACAAAGGTTGATCCTGGAAAATACCGTTGTCGTGTACATGACTGTCAGCAAGTCTTAAAGAGCAGTTCATTTTTCCTTTTTAAAGCTTTAGTGTAGGATTCTTCATGGAAGAGTAACATTATTTCTTTCAAATATGAAAAGTGTATATTAAATTATTTTATTTGAAATTAAATTTTATTTTTGATTAGGCAATACATTCACATGGCTCAAAAAATCATCAACGTTAAGAAGTATTAATTGAGAATGCTTATCTCTACCTCTGCCTCAGAAGTCATCACTTTTCAATTGTTTAATGTATCCTTCCAGTGTTTGGGTTTTTGATGCTTTGGAGACACTATTTCTTTTTTGTAACTAATGAGTTTCAGTATTTCATTTATTTTGGTGCTATTTTTGTTTGTTTATTGTTTTTTGTTTTTGAGACAGAATCTTCCTCCGTTGCTCAGGCTGGAGTGCAGTGATGTGATCTTGGCTCACTGAAACCTCTGCCTCCTGGGTTCAAGTGATTCTCCTGACTCAGCCTCCCAAGTAGCTGGGATTACAGGCATGCACCACCACACCCAGCTAATTTTTGTATTTTTAGTAGAGACGGGGATTCACCATTTTGACGAAGCTGATCTCAAACTCCTAGCCTCAAGTGATCCACCTGCCTCAGCCTCCCAAAGTACTGGGGTTACAGGCATGAGCCACCACACCCTGTCAATTTTGGTGCTATTTTTAAATTAAGATGTCATTGGAAGGGAATTCAGTATTGTCTATTCCTTGCTAAGATATATTCTTAAAATCTAAGAGGATTCATATAATGAAATGGGGATGTTTTGGGTTTTAAACTATTCAGAAGATGGGCTCTCACAGAGGGACTTTGTTTTGGATATGAGAGATTGTGTGCTTTGTTAGTATAGGATTAGTGATCTTGGTGGTTTTAAAAAATTAATCTTTATTATCAAAACTTTCAAAATAAACAGAAATAGTAAATGGATGGCTCAGTCAAAAGAAAAAAAAAGAACAAAGGAAAAATAGTTTAAGAAAAAAATGAATAAAAAGACAGAAGTAGAGCAATATAAGTAACAACCTCTGTATATTCATCTCACAGATTCCACAATTACTAAGATTTTTCTGTTTGCTTCATTTGTCTCTTTTAAATTTTCTTTTCTTTCTTTGCTCTTCTTTTCCTTCTTCCCTCACTGCTTTCCTTCCTTTCTCTTTTCTCATTACTAATGTACAGTCATGTGTCACTTAATGACAGGGATACATTCTGAGAAATGCATCGTGGGCCAGGCACAGTGGCTCACGCCTATAATCCCAGCAACTTTGGGAGGCTGAGGCGGGTGGATCATGAGGTCAGGAGTTCAAGACCAGCCTGGCCAACATAGTGAAACCCTGTCTCTACTAAAAATACAACAACAAAAAAAATTAGCCAGGCATGGCGGCACGTGCCTATAGTCCCAGCTACTCAG